CAGAGGACTCAATAGTGACAGAGTAGTGAGCATAACAGGCAAATTGATGAAATACACCACTAAGGAGAGCAGCAGGAAAGTCAGGAGAGCTCTGGCATGTGGGTCACCTCCCTGGCTGGGGATCCAACTGCTGAAGCAGCTGGGGCAAGCTTCATAGTGCCTCGCTTTAACCCTTTGTGCCACCAGGGAGGGCCCCAGCTAACCACTTTATTGTTGATGTTCTTGTTTCTTTCTTTCTTTCTTTTTTTTTTTAAAGGTTTCTTTTATTTATTTGTGCATACAAGCCCTGAGGTGTAGACCAGAGGTACGTGGGGTGGGGGGTGAAAAGACTCACCAGAGAAATAGTGGGGAGCAGAACAGTGGGATCTACTGAAATGCATTACTGAGGGGAGCAGTGGGAGGGGCAGGAGAGGTCTGCTGCCCATATGTAGGTCCCGGGCCTGGGATGGAACTTGTGCTGTAGTGGCTGTTGATAGCTACATAGTGCTGAGACTTAGCCCCTTGCTCTGCCAGGGAGGCCCTGGTATTCTTATATCTAAACTAATTATGATGATGTAATCAACTTATCTCTGTTTACATAGTGATTTCCAACTGTGAATCAAAACTTTTGTTTGGAGGGGCTTCCTATACACTGTGTGTTTTCTTGATGGGTACTACCATTTATTTTATAAGGACTCTAAAATTTTTAGAAACTTCGTTTACTCATACTTGAAAGGTTGGAAATTAAGTATTACTGAATATTAAGTAATACCAAATATAAATGGCTAAATATTATATGTATATTGCCAAGGATTATGTATATATTAGCCCAGACTGGTAGAACATAGGGTAATAGTAGAGTTTGAGTGTCTAGAGGATTTATACAGTCCTTTACATGTCCCACACAGTTGTGTTCCAGAAGGACTTGGCAAAATGAGACTGAGGCGGGGGCGGGGGGGCAGAAAAAAATCATGTAATTCTTTCCCAGCTGTAGAAGAAAAGCACTCCAGTGACTCCTTCACTGCTGGAGATTCTATTTGCCATTATGGCATTGTTCAGTGATACTTCAAATGCATCCAAATTGTATTTATTTCAACACACTGTGTGGGTAAAATCCAGACTCATTTAGGTCATGTTAGAGAAAAAGAAAGGGTTTATTTAAGCCTGAAACGGGGCTGAACTGAAGAAATAGTAGAAAAGAATGTGGAAGAGATGGCTCTGGACCCTAGTTTTTATAAACCAGGTACCTCTTGGACCTCCAAGCCTCTCATCTGTGAAATGGAAACAGCAATCCTTTTGCTCAAAAGCGCCATTGACTGTCGAGATTTATGGAGAGACATTATGCATCAGTAGCTGTAGATTTTACACTTAAGTATTTGCTTTTTGACTCATCAATTCTACTTCTAGGATTTTTTTTTTTAAAGATTTATTTATTCATACAGAACTGGATACAGGCCAGAGATGCGGAGGGTGAGAGGATTCACCAAGGACAGAGTGGGGAGCAGAACAGGCAGATCGACAAAGTACATGCTGAGGGGAGCAGCGGGCAGGTCAGGAGACGTCTGCCACGCCAGTGGATCTCCTCCGGGACAGGCGGGGGTCGAACTCATGTGGAAGTGGTTTTAGCTTCTTACTGCAGTGCTTTAACCCCCTGCGCCACCAGGGAGGGCCCTACTTCTAGGAATTTATTCTGAGGCTACTACAAGTTCCCCAGTCAAACAAAATATGCAAACACTTATAAATTATACATCACCAGTTGTCATGGCAAAATATTGCAGACACTTACATGCCACATGTGTGAGTTTTCTATTGTTGCATAGTACATTACCACAAATGTAGCATAAAGCAACACCTATTTCCTAGCTCCTTGTTCTATAATCAGAAGTTGGGCATGGTGTGAACTGGTGTGATCCATTGCTCTGGGTATTATAAAGCTGAAATGGAGGTGTTGGATCGGCATAATTGTTGCCTGAGGCACATCTTTATTATTGACAAAATTTAGTTTTTAGAGGTGGCAGGATTTGGTGCCATCAAGGGCTACTCTCAGTTCCCAGAAGTCATCTGTATTCTTCATCATGTAACTCCACCATCCTCAATCTGTCACATGAACCCCTTCTTATGATTTGAAGGTCTGACTTCCCTCTGTAAACAGCTATAGAAAGCCCATTGCTTTTACAGAGCTTGTGTGATTAGCTCAGGCTCACTGGACAATGTCTCTATCCGAGGGTGATGGATTTGTGACTTTAACACAGATGTAAAATTTTTTCACAGCCTACTCTAGGTTAGTGTTTAAATAACTGTGAGATGGTGTGTGTATATCTGGAACCAAGAATTCTTTTGGGCCTATTTAGAATTCTGCTTATTACACCAGAAGAAGCTGAATAAATATCCTCTGTCCAGTCACATAGTAGAAGATTATGCTGTAGTGATAAAGGATGAGAAAGAGCCTCTGTGAATAGCCTCTAGAGTGATTTCTAGGGTACACTGTTAAATGTTATGGGTACATATAAGAGGAGATTTATAGTTATGTGGGAAAAGCAAGGTAGAATAAAGTTCATTCAATTTTATATGAAAAAAGAGGAGACATAAGGAAAAATACACATGGCAGATTCCCTTAGTGGTCACTGCCTCTTGGCATTCATTCTCTTGTATAATCCTTTCCTCTTTAATGTGGGCTGGACTTAATGATTTACTTCTAGTGAATGGAATAGAGTAGAATTAGATGGATTAACTAATCCATCTAATTTAATCACTATTAAATTAGGCTCCAAAAAGACTGTGGCTTCTATTTTGAACTCTCTCTTTATTCCCTTTCTCTAGTGCAAGCAAGCTGCCATGCTGTGAGTAGTTTTATGACATATTCATGATACAAGACACTGGCATTCTAGTTGTTGTGGGTTGAATTGTGTGTCTCAAAAATAGTGAGGTTCTAACTCACCTGGTACTTGTGAAAGTGACTATTTTTGTAGATATTAAGAAGTGGCCATACTGGACTAGGATGGACTCTTCCTCTAACAGAAGGAAATTTGAACACAGAGACAAAAGAATACTACATGAAGGCAGAGGCAAAAATTGGAGTTATGTAGTCGCAAGACAAGGAATTGCAAGGATAGTCGGCAGCTGCTAGAAGGTAGGAGGGAGATAAGGAAGTATCCTCCTTGAGGGCCTTACAGAGCATGACTGCCAATATCTTGATTTTTGGATTTTTTGCTTTTAGAACTGTGAGAGAATAAATTCCTGTTTTTTTTTTTTTTTTTTAAGTTATCCACTTTGTGGTAATTCATTACTGCAGTCCCAGGAAATTAATACACTGGCCAGTGCCCAGTGAGGACCAGAGGCTGCCAACAGCCATGTGATTGAGCTTGAAAAAAGATCTTCAGAGCCTGATCAAGTATCAGGTTGAGTGAGCTTGGAAGTGACTCCTCCTCTAGTCAAGCCTTGATGTGATTGCAGCCCACTGCCATGTGGAACCAGAGATACTTGCCTTAGCCCCTTCTGGGTGTCTCACCCACAGAAACTGTAATTGGTGTTCCTACTGAAGTTTTCTAATTTCCTACTAAAAGGAACTAGGGTTTCTCTCTAGGGCAGAGAAATGCAATGAGACACAGTTGGTTTTACATCAAACAAGCAACAAAGTGCTCAGAGATCGACAAGATAGATTTAAGGTCAAAGGAGCAGGTAAAGGAGACTTAGTGGCCAAAAAGGCCATTTTTCCACCAAAACAAGCAATGGCATTTAATTACAAGAATGGCATTAAATTGGATGAAAAAGAATGTAGAAGTTCACACATAACTAAAAAGGAGGAGGGAAGGGAAACTTAAAGGTATGTTTGTGGTGAGATCTGCCAGATAACCTTGGCGAAGTGATGGAACTTTGCATCATGGATAATGGGATAAAGTGACACTGCCTTCCCATGTGTAACAATGGGAGGCACACAATATCCCGAATCTAATCATGAGGAAACAATTTGCTAAATCTAGAACTGGCTTGAACTTTTTTTTTTTAAAGATTTATTTATTTATGCATACTGAACTGGGGTACAGGCCAGCTGTACAGGGATACAGGGGCGGTGAGAGGGGTCACCAGAAGACACAAGTGGGGAGCATAACAGGCAGACCACGAAGTACACTGCTGAGGGAAGCCGTGTGCGAGACAGGAGAGGTCTGTTGCACGGTGTGGGTCACCCGTCTGGCCCCGGATCCAACTCGTGCTAAAGCGACTGGGGCTAGCTTTAACCCCTTGGGAGTGTGAGGGGGGGGCTGCCTTGAACTTTTTAAGTACTTCCAAGTTATGAAAGATAACAAAAAACAAAACCCAACTAAATTCGTGTGGAAGACTAATGTAGTTCAGACTTACAAAATCCAAACGAATGTTTGAGTCTTGAGTAGCTCTGGAACTGAAAAAAGAAAAGTGTGTGTGTGTGCGCACAGTTTTAGGACAACAAAGGAAATTTAAATATGAACGCTACACTGGATATGACTAAAATGGTATTAAATTTCTTTCATGTGACAACAAAGCATTTAGAGGTGAGGCTGTGTCTCCTGAACTTTCAAATGTTTCAGAGGAAAAAACCTATCTCATGAGAGGAAATACAAATGCTTGAAATGTTGGCATTTAGATGAGGGTAATCTTCAACTGTCTGTGATCTTCAAACTAAAAAGTTGGGATTAAAAAAAAAACAAGTTTACTTCCTCCCAGTAGCTGAGGGAGGGAATCAGCATCTTGAGAAGGTTCATTTCCCGTGGTTGTCGGTGTATTCCTTGCTTCTCTTTCACCGAGGAACAGAGACACGATGCCGTAGGAGGTGTCACCCAATGCCGGGGTCCTCCATTCCCCTCAAGGGGTGAGCTAGCAGCCCGACGCCCCGCCCCTCCGCTGCCGGCGAGTCGCTGTTGTGGGCGTGATCACGGCAGTAGTCGACCAATAGGAGCCCAGGCTGTGGGCGGGGCCGCGCGGAGCGAGGCCACGGCGGGACCGCGCGCTGGCTCCTGGGACTCCCCAGTCGTTCGCCGGCCTCTTTTAGCCCTCGCGCCGGCGGTTGATTCCTGTCTCTGCTGAGCCCGAGTGAAAGGAGGGGCACGGTCGCCCTCGCCGCGTAAGTGCTCACCATCCGGCCCCCTCACCTGCTCCGGGGAACACGCTCCTCCTTTCGCCCACTCCCGCGCGGGGAACCTGCCAGCGCGTAACTCCCCGGCTTGAGGCCACGGTCCTCGGGAGCCGGGACGCGGCCGGCGCGTGCCGGGGCCGCCTCTGCGCTCGGGCTGGCCCGGGCTCGGTGGGGCTCGAGGCCCTGGGGCTGGGCTCCGTTTCATTGACTGCCGCTGCGTGCGTCGGGTTGCGCTGCACCCCGGCCCCCGGCCCCTGACCCCCAGTCCCCGACGCTCAGCTCCGAGCGGTTTGCGCTGGTTCGGTTACAGCGCCAGTGAGTCCCAGTGCGAGGCCCTACCTATTCTTGCAGCTCGGCGTGTGCGCCGGCGTCCTTCCCTCAGTGTGCAGCCCGGGCTTCAGCGCGCGCGGGGCTCCGGCAGGCGCAGTGCAGCGCTTCGAATTGCTCCTGGAACATGCCAGATTAGCTCACGTTTGAAAGGAGGGGTCATGCCGATATGCTCGGAAAGGTAACGTAGCTCAGGGCTTGACCGTTTTTCTAGGTGTAAGTGATTTCACTTAAAGCATTTGTAACCATTAGCATTATGTCTTTGCCAGAATGGAAACGGTCGGGACTACCATGCTTCATGGAGATGCTTGATGCTTCCACCGTGAGAAAAGTTACAAGCATGAGTCCTGGTCTTTTGTGACTTTGGGCTTAGTTGACTCATAGGGAATGAGATTTGATTTCTAAAACGGCTTTCAAATCCAGTGTTTCATAGTTCTGCTGTGAGCTTGCTTTTCTTCTGTAGTTTAACAAAGGGTGGGACATAGGAAATCAAGAAAGGCAGCCCTACAGGGGAACAAAAATTTGTAAGTATGCAAATGTTTGGAGACCGTGATTACAGTTTAGGACTGCAGATTTTAAACGGACACAAGTAAAATCGAAAGAATTGGTCCAATTTATTACATAAGAGAAACCGGGGAAGCTTTAAAAAAGTTCCAACAGCAATTATTTGTTCTTACCTTCTCTGCACCTGTGCAAATGAGGTAAGGAGCAGAGAAATACTAAGAAAATGTAGTAGAGAGGGTATGTAGCTTAGCATATATTTTAATTTGTATAGACATTCCCACACAGGAAACACTTTAAAAAACAGAAGGTTTTGCATACCCCCTGCAGGAAAATCCTGCCTTTATTTTGAATAAACAGAATTCTTTAACCCTTCCCCATCTATATATAATTATATATAAAATTTTTGCATGGATATTTTTAGGCAACACTGAAAAATAGCTTTTGCTTTGTGTATATAGAGATCCGTGCGGGTCATTGTGCTTTTTCAGGGAGATTAGTTTGAGAACTTCACAGCTCTGTGACTAGAAAAACACACTTTTCCTCTGAGTCTGTTTTTCTTCAATTGTGAAATGTTGCTTATGATACATACTTCATGAGGATCACATAAAATCCTTTTTATGGAAAACAGCAGTGCCTGACCTAAGAGATATTTAATAATGGCAGTTCACGTGCCCTTGGCACCAAAGAGAAGTGGTCCCTGGGTTTTGGGCTCATTGGAGGGTATGGCCTAAAAGGAGGGCAGAACCAGACGTGATAACAACCTGCGCTGTGCTGCCATTGAAGTTCTGCAAAGTTGTACTCCTTTACCTAGATCTCAGGCTGACTTGTTGCCCCAACACAGGATTATTAAGGATAGGTCAGTCTCCCTGACCATTGGTCTGTCAATTCTAGACTGGGATTTCCCCTTCGAAGTTAAGGACTGTGTGTGAAGAGAAACCTGACAGAGAGTCAAAAACAATTGTTTTTTAATTGAACAGAGATTTCAGCCCAAGATAACTAAAACCTGATCATAGTTTGGAATGACCAGCACCTCAATCGCCTCCTTTTCCAGTCTTAGCTAGTATCTCTTGGAATGTTTGCCCAATTGCTGATGTTCTTTGGTTGTTATTTAAACCAAATTTTCCTTTCTTTCACTCAGCAAACATTAACTTGGCTTGAAGGCACAGCGGTCAGCTGCTCAGGCTTAGTCTCAGCATTCAGAAAGGAAAAGAACCTAAATGTTACTTTTACCTTCTTCCTAGTTAACTTCTGTGTGGAACACAGGTAACTGTAGAACATTGTAATTGAATAAAAAGTACTTTTGTCTAGTTTAACCAGGGATGTGAAAGTGGGTTCTCATTTGTGGGAGGTAAGTTTATTGGGATCGCACATACAGCTGATAGCAGCTGATGGGTGTGTGCTCCATCCATGATTCAAAACCATGGCGGGGTGGACTGTGGGTGTTTTGCTGGTGGGTGTGGTGTAGGGAAGAGTTCTGAAGGAGAGATCCAATACCTCTAAAACCAGTGTTGTAAACCAATGTTACCTCAATTAAAAAAAAAGAAAAAGAAGCAAACAGTGAAGGCAAGTCCTCAACTACTAGAGCTCTATTTGAGTTTGTACATGTGCGTAAAATACAGGACTCTTGGGTTTAAATCTGTGTAAAAAATATTAAAAATGACAGAAGAAAAGATAGCCATGTGTCATTAAAACTAGCAAAACAAAAATGGTAGCAGGAAATCAAAAAGTTAATCAGTGATAAGGCATGAGGTCATATGACAAGTGTTTTAAAAATGGTTTGTTATAAAATTAAAGATCAGTTATGTTTCTCACAAGTTTTTGCTTACGTTTTAGAGGATATTTTTCTGTGTGTGTGTGTTTACATATAGGTACATATATGTATAGGCATACATAGTACAGATGCAATACAGATGTAGGAAAATTAGTATATAAGACAAGTAAAAAGAATCAGCTAAAATATTATCTATAGTTAACTACTTAATAAGTAGTAAAATAAATATTCCAAGGTACAAATTGACCATTAGTTATTTAAGTCACTGATTTTTCCAATAACAGCATAGATTTATGGGTTTTCGAGTCTTCCTTCAGGAGGTGGGGCCCTGAGCGCTCTGTATTTTTTAAGGAGTACCACATTCAGGCTAAGAACTACTTAAAAAGATCCCTCTATTCTACATAGATGCTTGATACATATGTAGTATTATGATCAAGTAAATAATCGTGGAGGCCTTGGAGTGGGGAGAGCAGGTGGTTAATGATTTTCTTTTGGGGTGATAATTAGAGGTGGTGGGTGCATCACATTGTGAATGTATTAAGTGCCACTGAATTGTCACTAAAATGGCTTTGTATAATATTTCAGTAAAACTAAAAAAAAAAAAATCATGAACATTGTCCTATATGGTGGGAAGGTTAATCATTGCTGTTTAGATTGTCTATCTTTGGAATACTGTATTTTCTCTTTAAGACTAAGCACATTTTTGTTGGTTATAAGATGTGTCCTATTAGTAATTTTTGAAAGCTGCTTGTAATATTTTCTTTTTCATTGAAATGTTGTCACTCCTTTGTGACTCATTATGTACAGCTCCGGGTGGGAGCACGAAAAATACTGCATTTGGGATTGAGGACAGTTGTGTTCTTCATCTTGTGGCCTTGGGCAAGTCCTGAGACTGGGTTTCCTGGTCCTTCTGTCCTCTTGAGGAAATCACTGGAATCTGTATTGGCAAGTTACAGTACTTCCACATGTCATTATTTTGTAGTTATTGTTTTTTTTTTTTTTAATTTGGATTCAGTAAAATCTAAGGGTTGAGGAAGTTATCCTTGAATATTAAATGGCTTGCTGGAATTATTACTAATGTGTGGTAAATAATAACTTAGGCCTCCCTGGTGGCATAGGGAGTAAGTCTCAGCACTATCACCATTATGGCCTGAGTTCTATCCCAGGCCAGGGAGCTAACTCACATAGTGCAGCAGACCTCTTTCTGTCTTCCCTGCTGCTCCCCTTAGCAGTGTGTTTCTCAAAATCTGTCCTGCTCCCAAATCTATCTCTGGTGAATGTTCTTACCCTCCAAACCTGGCCTGTACTTCTACCTGCAAGTAAAAACATCTTTTTAAAATATATAACTTTTAAAATTATCAGTTACGAGTTTTGCAAACCTAAGAATCAGCTTAGTCCATATTACTAAATGTTTTCAAGGATTATGTGCAACTTGAGAATTTTGATGGGGGCAGAGCTTAGTGTTTGGTACTGAAATATATAGAAAGTGTGTGATAACTTTCAAATTCTATTCTTTGAAAGCTTTCTGCCAATTTTCATTGTAACCACTCTGAATTTGGTTAATGTCCATAAATGAGGAATACCCGTTTGTTATTTTAGATTTCCCTTAGGTCCCTTTTATTTTCTCTTGGTTTAAGCAAATAGCTTGGCCCTATTGAGACTGACATTCTTGGCAGTGACTTGTGTGGTAGATCTCTCCTGGAAATGTAGACTTGAAAAAACCCTAAAATTAAAACTTTCAGTGTAAAGTCATTGGCCTTTGTGCTTACTAATAATGACTATAGTAAAATTAGGAATTTTATTTTAAACTAACAGTAATTATTGCTAATACATATATACAAAGTGTGTTAATTTGCTTGTGCTTCAACTCTTAACCCATACGAAGCCAGGCTTACCAGTGAAAATGACATAAAACTGTAAAACATAAGGCATATGGGCAGTTGGCTGTGGCAGGTATGCATTGTTGGGAGTGACCAAAGATTTACTGGCAAGGACTGAATTAGGGTGGTAATGAATTGAGTCTTGCATCCAAGCTTGATAAGGTGGTAATAAACTGACCTTGCATCCTGGATGGGACTGGTTGAAGGTGATAAGAACTGGGCCTCACATCAAGGACACAGCGATGAGTCACCCCTTTGAAATCTGAGTTTAGGACCTAGATAAGAGACCCTTCCCCTTTTTTTGTGTTGGCAGTAGCTGCAGACCCCCCCTTTGGAGCTCTGCCTTAGCAGCTGTCCATGAGCATTAAAACTTTACTAGCTCAGCCTTTCTAGCTCCTGTCTTTCTGCGCTAGTCACAAAAGTTGGGACAAAATATGCATATGTTTCACAGTGAGTGAAGACCTGTTAGGGAAAAGGAGGTGACATTTGTTGAGTATCTTTTAGTGTCAGGTTTTATAATATGTATTTAATCCCTGCTATACGCCTAAAATACTAGGCATAAATTTTATTTAGTTTAGTGGACTGTACCCCTAATTGGCTGCTTTGATGATGAATATCTATGAAGACGAAACCCAGAGGTTTACAGGAACTTCCCTAAGAAGGAAGAGGTATGACTTTGACACTAGAGAGCCTCTTTCCTTCTTACATAACAAGTTGCCTCCCAGCAGTTAAGGTAACATTGAGAAGAGAGAAGGCGGCTAACAGAATATAAACTGGAAGTATGTTTTACTAATTTTAAGTAGTTTCACTGTGTGACAGTGCTTTGCAACATTTTTCTACTCCACTGCACCTGAGGGATTCAGTTGCCTCCCTTGAGGAACTCACTAAAGTAGTGGAAACAAATAGCAAATAATTACTGAGTGAAGAACAACTTTATGATGGAACTACCCAAGAAATACTCTCCATGTACTACATTGAATGCACACTCACTTGTCAAAATATCAATTTATTTGATAACCTGAATTACTGAAGGAGAATTAAGATAATTATAAATAAAAAAGTGAGCATAGTAGTTGGTGATTTATTGGGTTTATTGTATACTAGGTTTTTTTTTTTTTTTTTAAGGCAAAGCTTGCCTTGATTGTGTGTGTGTGTGTGTGTGTGTTGGGGGGATATGTTCAGTGATAATGATGTGGTCTTTTTGAGTTTGGGATCCTTGGGTTTACTCTGAGTGGCACACGGTGAGATTCTTCACAGAGACTCAGTTATATTTAAAGAGGAAGTTTATTAGAAAGAGACAGGAGAGGAAAAGACACTTGCATAGGTGCAAGTGGGCAGGAAGAGCTGTCCCAAACGGGACAGGTTTACAGAGACCTGCATGGTTGCAGGCAGGCGGCCTTAGGAGAGTGTCCTCTACTGAGGGAGGTCAGTGCAGAGAAGGCCCGGCATGGTACAGGTCACAGGCAGGCAGGAGGCTGCTGCCCTGCAGAGGGAGAGCCGGGTGGGAAGAAGCACCTGCATAGGCACAGGTGGGCAGAGGGGCAGTGCCCGGTGCTGGTGGAGCGACGGCCCTGATACAGACAGCTTCTCTTTGGGAGGGGCTCACTCCTGGTGAGCCTAGGTTTGTTGGCTTTGAATAGAATCTGAGAGGATCGGATATTCCCCGGTGAGCTCCAACTCCATCTCCATGTCCTTTTCTTCACCTGGGCACCAGGCATCCGCTTTGGTGCCTGAGGACCTTGATGTTATGGCTGTGTCAATTGCTGCACTAGCCCCTTTTTCCTGTCCCCTTTGTATGATTCAGTCTTATAATGCCTCCCCTGCATTCCTTTCTCACCAAATAGTATCTGGTGGTATCCTCCAAATGGAACACAAGTTTAAAGAAGAAACTGCCCATAATAATTTTGAAACTTCTTAATTTTTTTTTTCCAGGACAAAGCCTACTGGAGACAATGTTTCTATGAGTCAAAGGAGAAGGGACAATAGGGAGAATGACAGCCCTCAACTGGAAGCCTTTCGTCTATGGAGGGCTGGCCTCCATCACCGCTGAGTGTGGTAAGGAGCCCAGGGTGTTGGAGGCAGTTTGCTTGCTACTTGTGATAAAGTTTAAAACTTAAGGCCGCTTTTTGGTATCCAATTGAGAATGGGATTAAATAAGCACAGAATGGGAAGTCATAAAACATAATATCAGAATTCAAAATTTCCTTCTTTCAGTATGCTTTTAAGACAAAAATGTTGTTTTGGCTACGTACTAAGAGTTTAGGGTTCGAAATTTAGTGGGCAGAAAGTTGAACTTATCTGCCAAACAGAAATTTTATAACTGATTTTCCATTTACATCTGTTCCACTTTGCCATTGTTAACAAACTTGGCTGCAAAGAGATTTGAGGGGCAAAGGTCCTCTCTGAGACCTGTTCAGCTGATTGTCATTATTCAATCCCTGTTTGATATATCAAAGCCCCATCCTATTCACAACTTCCTCACTAGTTGAATTTCACATCAGATCCCATTTGTGCCTTTGTTTCTTGATTTCTCGAGTAATTTAGTCAACACATGTTGACTGAGCAGCTGCCAAAAGCCATTTGCTGGTTTGGACACTATCTGTTCCCAGGGCTCTAGTCCCTGCTCTCCTGGGGCAAGGGCTGCCCAGAGGAGGCCATGCAGACCAGGGCTGAGGGGCTGAGGCACATTAACCACCCACCACCACCACTGCCTTGGGCTTCTGTTCTAGACTCTCCCAGAGACACAATTCATCAGCTTCACTGAGGATAGACTTTATATATATGGGGCAACTGGTAGATACTCCATCAAACATTTTTACCTGTATTAACATAATTACTTTTAGAGTGTGAAGCACAAAGTGAAAAACTTCAGAAAATGAACTTTTACTTCTTTATTCATATTGAATCTGATTTTAACCTTCAATATGTAAAAAATAGTAACTTCTGTTTAAAATGAATTTATTTTATTTATTTATGCATACAGAACCGGGGTACAGGCAAGAGGTGCAGGGGAGGTGAGAGAATGCACCAGAGACAGAGTGGGGATCAGAACAGGCCTACTGACAAAGTACACTGCTGAGGGGAGCAGCGGGCGGGTCAGGAGAGGTCTGCCGTGCCATGTGGGTCACCTCCAGGGCTGGGGAATCGAACTCCCACTGAAGTAGCTATGGCTTGCTTGCAGTGTTGTGTTTTAACCCCTTGCACCACCAGGGAGGGCCCTAAAATGAGTTTCTTATTTGTATGTATCATTCCATGTGTCCACTTTCTACAGCAATGCAAACTCCTCAAATTTTATGTAGAATAAAATGAAAAATGATAAAAATATACATGTTTTTGCTTTTAAAAATCTTTTGGTTCCAGTATTTTTTTAGTAGAGAAAGTATTACAATGTTTCTACCACATTTTACTATTTATAGTCTGAATGTCTCCTTAGTAATAGATTACAGTATATCCTTTATTTATTTGAATTTCCTTTTAAAATTTTAAGGTACATTTCCAATTGACTTAACCAAGACACGGCTCCAGATTCAAGGCCAGACGAATGATGCAAACTTTAAGGAAATTAGATATAGGGGAATGTTACATGCTTTAGTGAGGATTGCTAGAGAAGAAGGGTTGAAGGCACTGTATTCAGGGTAAGTAGACCTTTGTGCATTTATATTTTATACTTGACCTTTCAAATGAGTAGACTTAATACTAAGATTGAGAAAGGAAAAAAAAAAACAAACTGGAAGTATGCTGAAAAGAAAAGGTAGAGTGGTAGATTTTTCTTTCTATCTTCTGTTTTTTTAAGATTTATTTATGCATATAGAACTGGAATACACGCCAGAGATGCAGGGGTGGTAAGAATGATTCACCATAGACAGAGTGGGGAGCAGAACAGGCTGACTGAAAAAGTATACTGCTGAGGGGAGCAGCGGGTGGGTCAGGAGAGGTCTGCCATACCATGTGGGTCACCTCCAGGGCCAGGGATCAAACTCGATCTGAAGCATCTCCAGGGAACTTAATGTTGCTATGCTTTAACCTGATGTGTCACCACGCAGGTTAGAGTGGTAGATTTTTCATTTTGACTTTATATATACTATATGTATGTTATGCTATAAATGTGGTAAAACTCTTTGATAGCCAAACATAGAAATAATAATAAAATTATGTTTGCTTTTTAAAAGTCCCAATATTCAGTTTTTTACTCTGAAAATAGCACTCTTCTCCTATGGCTATTGTGAATTTCTGAGATTTTTGCCATATTGAAATGTCATAGTGTTTCTCATGGGTATAGTGTTGTAGACACAGGATAGAAAGTGAATAAAACAGGACCCTTCCTGTGTCAGAAAAGTAGCTTGCAGGGAAAAGAACTGATTTCCAAACAACAAAAAAATTTGCATGATTTAAATAGAGATTAATGAAGGTGCAACTTAAGGATGAAGGGAACAAATGAAGGATATTGAAGTATCTAAAAACTGAGAAAGTGAGAAAGTGTTTTGTTATCAACCGTGGGGCCAAAGGGACGAGGATAGTAAAAATAGTTTTAGACTGCTAGGGCCAAACCTTGAGGGAACATTTAAATAGTAGGTGTTAAGGGATGTGCCTAGAAATGCCTCTATTTCTTTCATTTACCTCCTTCAGGCAGGGGAGCCTGGTACTGTATTCCATAGGCACCAGCCTCTTAGTGCACAGTAGGACAGAAGGTTGAGACATGATGTGGAGGACAGATGGCAACTGTCCTGTAGGAACTGTTGTTCTGTGGAGGCAGCAGACATGTGAACAAAGAATTGCAATGGAGTCTGATTAAATACTAGAGCCTAGCAGAGGCAGAGCATCAGTCCTGACTGTGGGGAGAGCAGGAGTTTACAGGAAGCTACGCAGGCTAGGAAGTGCTGGATTTGATCTTGAAGGATTAGGAAGAACTAGCCAGATGAAATTAGATGAAAGTGCAGAAAGGTAGGAGTACAGATGCCACTGGGGTCTGGGAGGGTAACCTGAGTGAGAGGAAATAATGAAACAAGTCCCCTAAGGAGGTAGGAGGTTCACTGCAGAGCACCATGGAAGAAGGTTCGATGCCTATAAGAGGCCAGATTTCACCAAAGGCTTTGTATTGAGAGAGGAAAGCCTTTCATTTTTAACATGGATGGGCAAGTAGAACTTCACGTCCACTTACACTTTCATTGATGAGGCTGAATTTTCATTTGGTGAACTAGTAATATGTGCATATATTTAACTGAACCTATCTATATTTATTGGATTTTAACTATTAAGAAATGTGTCTTAGTGTAGTTTCATTATGGAACACAAATATGTGGTCCTATGGCCTTGTATAGATCTGTTAAAGCATTTTAAGAACTTCTTTTTAGCCCTCTGTATATTGATTTGACAGCATTGCACCTGCGATGTTACGCCAGGCTTCCTATGGCACCATCAAGATAGGTACTTACCAGAGCTTGAAGAGATTATTTGTTGAACGCCTAGAAGGTGAGGGGGGATTTTTTTCTACTTGTGGGCAGGAGGTGGGTTGTTAGTCTTTCTGCTTGGTTTTGAAGAGAGCTGCTTTAGCTTACTTGTGAGTTTATTACTGCTGGGAAGCACTCTGGGTGTAACAAATTGTGCTCAAAGCAAGCCAGTTTTCAATTGATGTTAGGAAAGTAACATTTAAAAGGAGCACTATTATGTTTTACTTAGTTGTGCTCATCTACAGAATGTCTAGATGAGAGGATTTGTTACAGTTCTAGCCAACTTAACATTTTCTGAAATCATAGAATCATCACCTGTTTTTTGGGAAACAATGAGTGGATGCTATAGAATTAAGAGCTCTGAGTTCTAATACTCTATTGCTGGTTGATTCTGTGACTTTGCTTTAATCCATGTAACTTTTTTTTTTTAAACAGTGGGATGAGCACTAGGCTTTGGTATGTGAGAGTGGTGAACAGGGGCTTTGGATGCATTTCAGTATACTTAAGATTAAATATGTATGATGTGCTTCAGATTTTTATCTCCTTATTCTCTCATAGGAGTGTATCTTTTTCTCCTATCAGATAAACCAGATATAAATCCATAGTCTGCCTTTATAGCCAATTGGATTGGTAGATGGTTCTTCACTCTGATAATTTACATTACTTTTAGATAACAAAAAATTTCCCTTTAACTAGTAAAATTCCTAATCCTTTTAAAATTTCTTGATTCATAAAGTATATTTCTTTGTTAAGACGAATAAGTGCTATATAAATGAATTTCACCTCTGTTTGAGTTATTCACATAAAGAACTTGGTATATATGAAAAGTTAAATAATACATCTTTGTTTACAGATGAGACCCTACTGGTAAATGTGGTATGTGGAATTCTCTCTGGAGTCATAGCCTCAGCCATTGCTAATCCAACTGATGTTTTGAAAGTAAGCAGTGCTGTCATGTTCTATAGATATATTTACCTTCCACACTTTGTTATTAAGAACAATTTAGATAATGAAAATCTTAATATAACATGCTCGGTATATATGTGAATCTGTTTATGGAGACTCTTCACTTACAAATATCCACCAAGTAAATTTCTCAATGATAAAGATAAGCTAAAAAGTAGAGTTCGTTTTTGGAGATGAAGATTTTGGTAACTAAACAAAGAAAGTTAGGCTTTGATATATTTGAATTTAATTTCTCATTGAAATCTCCCTTGTTTTATTGGTTTATTAAATATAGATAGGCTGCAACTTTTACATATACCTAGATTGTTCATTCATGACATGTCTGAATGTATTATGTTGTGCATTTATTTGGTTTTAGGAAATGCTAATGAAATACTAATAAATTTGCTTCGCACAATTAGATATAACAATTTAGATGACCTTGTTGACAATACCAGGCAGATAGCCTCTTTAGTCCTTTTTGAATAAGGCGAAGGAATAACTATTAAATGGAGGAAATATTAGGTATGAGTTGTGTTTTGGACCTTGTCAGGATATTCTCTTCCTCCTTCCTCCAATTACTTAAGAGAATTCACTGTGTTCTTTTACCAGTGGATATACTGTGTGCTTAGCATCCACAACTAAGTGAAACAGGACCCTACCCACAGAGAGTCATCAACTTAATAGATTCTTACAAGATTTCACACAGATTGTATTACGGTTCTCACAATGAAGATGCACATGTGTAAAAGCAGTTTTGTTATACTCTTTACCTTATGTTCGGGGTAAGAGTGCTAGAGCAAGTATCCAACTCCTATTAATGTCTTAAAACATGTATCAGGGCTTATAGAAAGTCTATTCCTGTATTTTGGTTTATTTTCTCATGTTAGCATGGCAAGAACCAAAGGTTCTTTGGTTTAAAGGTAATGTATTTGGTTCCCCAAACCAAAGTAAGCTACCAGTTTTTTTTATTTTGTTTCTTTTTTTAGTGAGGAAGCCTTTTTCATTTGAAAAATTCAGAAATCTCCTTTGTTTTACTACAGCAAAAGTTATTTTATTTATTTAATAATACAATATTTTATTTTTACATCATTTTGTGCCTTTTTTCTCTCTCAGTTGTTATCCCCATGGGCTTCCCACCACCAAATCACCCATGTGCTATCACCATAGTCCAGTGCACTTCCCTCCCCCCAACGTTTTTGATCCCATTCCATCCCTGTAAAATGTCTTTGGTATATAGTTGTTCATTATTGTTATTATTTTCTCGTCTTGTCCTTTATACTCCTGCTGTGAGTGAAACCACCCAGTATTTTTCCTTTTCTTTCTAGCTTATTTCACTAGCATGATCTTTTCCAGCTCCATCCATGTTACTGCAAAAGGCATGTGTTTTTTTTTAGTTGCTGAGTAATATTCCATTGTGTATATATACCACATCTTTTTAATCCAGCCATCTACGTTTGTAAATCAAGCAGCACCATGTCTTTGTTATTGTAAATAAAACATGGGGGTGCAGATGTCTTTTTGCATCAGTGTTTTTGTGCCTTTTGGATAGATACCTAGGAGTGGGATTGCTGGGTCATATGGAAGCTCCATTTTTAACGGTTTGAGAAACCTCCAAACAGTTTTCCATAGTGGTTGTAGCAAAAGGTATTTTTATGTTGGAATCTTGGTCACATGAATTACAAGGCTGTTGTAAATTCAAGTATATCAGAGTATGACAGGTATCATGTGTTTACCCCATGGCCAGCTGGCTTGCATGCTTTTGGTTCAGCTGATTGAAATAGTAGTGGTTTGGAGTAACTAATGTAAGAGATAACGCTTGCCCATTCTTAGTCCCGCCAAGTACATTGAATACTCTGATTAATTATATTAAATCTGTAGAATTACTATCAGATTTTTTTTTTCTTGCTTAGTAACTTATGCCATTTTCTTTCTTTTCAAATGACCATTAAAAAAAATTCTTTTTGGCACTTGATGAGCTCCTTTATGCAGGACTTTGGATTCTATTGAATGCTTTTTATTGATTCTGTGTTATCTTAGGATGAATCCTATACATTTTTAGATTGCTAGCATTATAAAAGTATTATGTTACAATTTTTCATTAGTGGTTATTAACAACAGATTGGATGATTTTTAGATGTTTACATTTGGGGGAGAAATGGGCTTGTTTTCTTCTCACGTTGGATTTTAAAATAATCTCCAGATTCGGATGCAAGCACAAAGCAACACCATACAAGGAGGAATGATAGGCAACTTCATTAACATTTACCAGCAAGAGGGAACAAGAGGACTGTGGAAGGTAAACTTGAAAAACAAATATGGGCAACTTTTCTGCCTGCTTGTATCTATGCAGGTACCTCTCTTTCTTTCTCCTCTTCCTAATAATCCTACCCTTTTTATATGTTAAAAAAAAATAAACAGATTCAACTGGCTTACTTAGTTCTTTACTTTTTGATTTTATTCTTTACTGTTTCCATTATTTTGTTTAATCTAAGTGGCATAATAGTGTAAGGCATGAAGAGTGGCATTTGCCTTGATGATCTCTTCTTCCTTTAACTCTGAAAGAAAATATAGGCCCTCCTTCATGGCATAGGCTGTAATGCTATCACTGTTGTGGCCTGAGTTCGCTCCCCAGCCAGGAAGCTAACTCATGCACAGATGACCTCTCCCATCTCACCTGCTGCTCCCCTGAGCAGTGCATTTCAGTAGATATGTGCCCTACTCTGTTTTCAGTGTATCTTTACCCCCTGCACCTCTGGCCTACACCCAGTTTATTAATTTGTTTATTTGTAAACAAACAAACAAATCTCTATAAAATGAAAATAGAGAAATAGATCATGATTTCAAAGTAACTGTTAAATAGTTTGTGTATAAGTCATTCTCTGAAGATCAGATAGTTTTGTTTTATAATTCTTATGGAATGATAACTTGGTTACAATAGAATGACGTTTGACCTGTATGGCTTCCCGGATCTTAAGTGAAGACTGTTATGATCAGGCAAGGCCGGGGATGGAGTGTCATTTACTAGTATTTGAGTGACTTGCAGTTCATAGAATAGACTCAAAAAGGTCACCCAGTATGATCCTCAGTATGAAGAAGGAAACCAGAGGCTCTGAGAGGTAATTTGTCTTGCCAAAGGCTAGCCAAGGTCATATAGTTAGCGCCTAAATCAGAAGTAAACCATAGGGCTTCTGACTTCTTATCCTCTGGTCTTTTCTGCTCTGTCACTTTACATCTCTATACCAGGAAAACTTAAAAATTGGTCATAGTTTTGGAGTAGAGCTATTGCATAATGGCAAGGCTTGTTCTGTGACACTCTTATTTGAAACTTTTTTATTCTTAATATTTTTACCCAGGGTGTGTCCCTTACTGCTCAGAGGGCTGCCATTGTTGTTGGCGTGGAGCTGCCAGTATATGACCTCACCAAGAAGCATCTGATTCTCTCAGGCTTGATGGGAGATACTGTATATACCCACTTCCTGTATGTTATGGGTTTTTAAAAAATTAATATTTTAGATATGCTTGAGTTTAGGGTATACACATGATACAAATTTATAGAAATGTAAAGAACGGTTACTGTAACATTTGTTTTCTCACAGCTGAAAAAGGATGGAAGTAAATTGGGAAAAAGAGTCCTCATCCTTTTACACAGATTGCCAATCTTAACAGGTTGATATGTATCTTCCAGGTATTTTCTATGAATATGCAAATATACCTACAAAAGGTATATTGGATGTACCTTTTTAAACAAATAAGATCATGTTTTACATTTCTTTTACTTTTTCTTTTTTCAGCTTTGGCAATTTAGTAATGCAATCCAGCTATCTTAATTACAGTAATACATCTACTTTAATAATTGCAGATTAGTATGGATATATCATAGTTTAATACATTTAAAGTCCATTTTGAGGGTCTTTGGCAATATTTGGAGACTTTTAATTGTTATTACAAGGGAGATTGATGCCAGGGATGTGGGTAACCTCTTACAATGTACAGGACAAACAACTACAGCAAAGAATTATCTGCTCCAGAATGTTAGTGGTACAGAGACTGAGAAATCCTACTTTAAGTTAGTTCATCCTAAGTATGGGTCTTTGTGAGACCGAAAGTTGAGTAGAACCTAAAATTCCTGGTGGGCATTATAGTGAGGAAATTTTTTTTTTTAACAACATGGCCAAAATAACTGAATCCTACTTATGGTGAAGAGATGTAATAGGTGGAGAACAGTACTTTATACTTCTGATTCTTTGACATTTCAGAACCTCAAAGGTATTAACTGAGCTAGAATTTCTTAGTCATTGTAAACGGTGCTGGTATTAAATTTTGTGCAGTTTTCTCTATATGAACATCATCTTTGACATATCACATTATACATTAGCTTAACATAGTTTGGAGGAGATGTGCTTCCTGTTTTTAATAACAGGATAAATAGCTCAGTGGTGGAACTTACAGTATTCCAATGGTATCTTACTTATAGTTCAAGCTTCACCTGCGGTTTGGCTGGGGCCCTGGCCTCGAATCCTGTTGATGTTGTGAGAACACGGATGATGAATCAGAGAGTTGTTCGAGATGGCAAATGCTCTGGATACACAGGTACCCTGGACTGCTTATTACAGGTGAGGGTGAATGTCTGTCTGCACAGGGTTGTGAATTTCTTTCATAGCCTGTTAGCTACCATGTTACCCTCTGAAGAGTTTATGATCATGATTTAAAACACAGGATTTAGAGCCAGACACATCTCTGGATTTGTCACAGTGATGTGATTGATCAAGATATAAATTTTCTATAGCTTAGTGAAATGGGACAATAATAGCAATTATGTATGCTTATGTAAAAATAAGGGAGGTAGTACCTATAAAGCAGTTAGTCTCCTGCTTGCTATAGTAAGTTCCAATTGTTAGCATAATTAATTCTAACAAGGACACTTTATGAAACAAGAAAATTTATTGTGATCATTTATATTCTATTGGATTACTTCAGTTGATGAGGGTGCGTGTGTGAATGTGTGAGAGATAACATGAGTGATGTGCTAAAGCTCTGAAGTAGTCCGTAGTTACTGCTACACAGCTGTTGAATCCCTGGAAGCTTTCCAAATGTGATCTAAAACTATTCCTTTTATGCAAAGGGCAGGGAGACTTCTAACAAAAGGCAGAATACTTCAGATTGGTAGGTGGCTGTTTTAATGAGCAAGGGAACTTTCTTACAAGGCTTGTTTTCAGTAACTGCAGGATAAGTACTGTCTCCCACTCTTCCAACTCCCTACCACAGAGGCCTTAATTGAGCCCAGTCACATAAACAATAACACATTTTCTCAAGACTGTAACCTTGAAGCAGCTTCTGTGAACCCACATTCCAAGGTACAAGGTTCCAGTATATTCCAAGAGGAGGGGATGAGATGCCTCCATTGTCTGGGTCTAGCTGTCCAGTCAGCAGATTGTTACGCAATCTTGTTAGCCTTCACCAAAAATGGGGCTTGCTTTTTCAAATAGAGAATCTAGATAAATATTTAAAAATGAAAGTTTCATATTTCTGTACCTCTGCTCTGCTATGAAGAGTGAGAAAGTTGGTATATTTTCTGCGATTATAAAGGTGTTACCTTCCAAAATTTATCTTCCTATTGAATCAAACTGGGATGAAAATCCTTCATTTAGATATACTTTCAAAGGAACACATCAATCTAATTGTAATTCTCAATTTAATACTGTCCTTGAGTGATCAGAGTTCCCCTACTAGATTGCTAGTAGCCAAAGATTTGTGGACTGCTTTTGTGACTCGCATTTTCTAGCGAATCCCTAGACTTCAGGTATTGCTTTGAAAGAAGCAAAGGTACAGATACACCTCAGAGACATCAAGGGTTCTTTTCCAGACCACTGCAGTAAAGCAAATATTACAAGAAAGTGAATCACGTGCATTTGCTTCCCTGCATAAAAAAGTTTATGCTACTATGGTCTTAGAAGCTTGTATTAGCGTTATGTCTACAAAACAAGGTACATACCCAAACTTGTTATTGCTTAGAATTTTGTTGCTAAAACGTTAGCCAGGATTATATATTCTTGGGAAAATGATGCTGATAGATTTGTTTCATGCAGGTTGCCACAAACATTCAGCTGTGAAAAGGACACAATATCTGCGAAAGCACAATAAGCTGAACTATTTATTCATTTTTACCCATTCAGCAACATGTAATAGTGGCACTTTGAATTCTATCTTTACCATCATTTTTTCACTACTTTATTTCTGACTTGCTAATGAGCCCAAATGGCATGGAGGCAAAGACTATGTGGGATTAAATCAGATTTCTTATTCATTCAATTGCTATTCATCTGCTTTGTTTGGGGGTATTTGACATGGAGCTTTGGTCTTCACCTTACAGAAACCTAAAGACATGAAAGCAGGCAAAGAGCAATGATGTCTTAGTCCTTCCAAACTGGGTTTTAGTTAAAGAAATATAATGAGTTCAGTATGGCTACTAATTGTTAATGCAGTTGATGCAATTGAAAAGTTGAAAGCTTACTTTTTTCTCCCTACCCGTTTATTACAGACGTGGAAGAATGAAGGGTTTTTTGCTCTATATAAAGGGTTTTGGCCAAATTGGTTGAGACTTGGTCCTTGGAATATCATTGTATCCTTTTCTGTTGCAGTAGATCTGAAAAAAAATGTAAAGAATATTGTTTGTGTAAATTACCAATTATTAATTAAATTTAGAAGTAGTTTCTATTCCTTTTGATTTCTGACCCAAGAATTAACTATTCAGTTTTTTTTTTTTTTTCCAGGAGGTAAACAGTCTGCTAGGCAGTGTGAATTTTGGGCTAATGATGGTGGTATTAAAAGATAATGATTATTAATAAAATATTTTATTTAGACTGTTCTAGAAGCTCAGAGTATTTATGATTTCAGATAAAGATAGGCATTGATTTTTAAATCCCTAGCCACCCTTGGGAAGGATATGGTTTGGCAGCAGTATTCTAGAATGCTTATTTTATAGAGTGAAAAAGGATAAATAAGAATTGGTTCCAAACTGTTGAGAAGATCAGCACTATTTCCTGTATGTCAAAGTAGGAGGCAGGAAAGGTGAGTTAGTTTATTAGATACAAGGTAGGGAAAGATGGTTTTTTGCCATCCACTGGCTTAATCTATACCTCCCTCCTGCGGAAGGTCTCCCTACAGAGTCCTTTTCGGAGAGCTTCCCAGGCCTTAATGTCTTTGTCTTCTCACAGAATTTATTGTTCTGGATTATTTTCTTAAAAAATTAGTCAGTGGGGATATAATCTTGGGAGAGTCTCTTGGAGGTGCTAGATGATGTATACATATATCTCAGCTGTGATCTTTCTGTTCCACACTGATCTCACTTCTGGGGAGATCTTCTGGGATGGTTAAGGAAGGAACCTCTCACATTTAACCATACCCATGGCAGGTGGTTTCCCCAGTCATTTTTGTTAGTAGATGTGTTTTGGGGTCTGGTTGATGTGTCAGGGTTGTTCAGATGCCATTTTCTTTGTTAACCTTAACTGGATAATGCCAGTTCTTTGTAACATACGAGCAGCTGAAGAAACTGGATTTGTGACAATTCAAAGCATCAGATATCCCTCTGAAAATCCCAACTTCCCAAAAGATTAAAGCTTCCTTGTTTCACACTGCTTCTCACTGCTTGGCTTGTCAGCAGATTCTGAGGTGTGAACAACAGATGAGATTGGGTTAATTCAGATTGCTGTGTATTAGCATCGTGTGGGCTGTATCATTCAGTGGTATGAATTGTAACATCCAAACACTAGCCCTTACCAATTAAAGTGTCCTTTGACATCAAAGATAACATAAAATGCATGCTTCTTCCTAAGGAAAACTTGCAAAAAAGATCAGGAACTGTGTACTGTTTCCTTCAGGGGAGAGGAGATCCTGATGCACCTCAGCTGTAAGCTGAGAATCCTGGACTGCTCTAAAGAAGCTCATCAGAATGGTGGCATGGAGCCTCTAAGGAGATATTATTGTTCCTGAACTTCTGGGGCCTTTGCTTCTTGTCACCTGAAGAGATCTCACCTATGGGTTGGTGGCCTTTTCAAACCCTGATATATGTAAACAGTGCAGAAATCGATCCCTGGAATATTGCACTATGTAATTTCCTATTTAGGCAGTGTCTTTCACTTATAATAAGTGATCTTAAGCCTTTGAAGACTTGACCTTTGTGAGGAATTGTTACAAAATATTAGTATCTAAACTCTGATGGTATGTGACATGTTGGCTTTGAAGGTGGCAAGGTTTTTGGGGTGGGAGATGTTTCCAGGCAGTTTGGATTTAGTCTTAGGTACTGTTGGTAATTTGCTCTATGATTTCAAGAAAAATTTATTACTTTTCAATCTGTCAAATGAGGCTCAGAATGTCTGATGTTGAGGGTCAGTGAAGAAAAGAGTAGCTGCTGCTGCTTGACTTTGTAGGGTGAGTGTGTTTATATCTTGCTGTCATACAGCCATAATTCCGGAATGAATAATCTGTATAGAGAGTCATTGCGCACCCTAGGCTTCTTGCTGTAATCCCGAGTGAAGCTCTTAGTTTAAGGCTTTCTGAAAGAAAGAACACTGTAAGTTAAAGCTTTATTTCATTTTTATTAGCAAAATGTTGGCAAGTGATTCAAGCAGTTGATTTTTCCTGATTTCCCAGGTTTAGTTTGGTCCACATTTGTTAAAATATTTCCTGTCTTGGAATGCCTAACTAGTTTGGATGGAACATACTTGCTTGAAATTTTAAAACTGTTTCTTTAGTATGCCTGTTTATCTAGCATCTGATAAGAGCTATGGAATACCTTCTTTTCTTTTAATGACAGGATATTTTCTCTCTTCCTTCTTGTCTTCATCTTACTCTTTTAAAAATATAAAAGAACTGAGAGCCCCAAGAACTTACAGTTCTATAAGGCAGCCCTCTTAAGGCAATGGTTTACTTGGGTTCCTTTCATTCTACCTTTTGAGAACAACATTAAATGCATATTAACTGGTGCTACAGGGCAGATACTTCTGCAGTATAAACAGGCAAGTTTTCCATTCACCCCCATGAAGCGGAATGAAAGGAGCCCAGGTTTTTCTTGGGGATTAGGTAGTCTTCCTTCAGATCACTTTCATTGCCCCTTCTTTCTCAGTGTTTGCTTTGAAGAGGACTTTCTGAAGCCAAATTTTATTTCCAAAAGTAAAAGCTAAGACAAAGTCATTAAAAAGAGAAGTGAAGAGAGAAAGGGTGTGGAGTGGCATGTAGATGCTACTAGCTTCAAGGCTAAGATGAAAGTCCCGATCTCCCTGACCCACACTAAAGGTGATGCTGAGTGCTAAGCTCAGTCAGACCTCATTCCTGGGATGAGCCATATTTTTAGAGAGATTTTCTTTTTTCCTTGTTGCCAAACATTCCATTGATGTGATAAGGGCTTTTTCTGTTATTGAAAGGCTTTCACTCTTGATTTCCTTGCATTTAAAAGATTACTTAACCTTTTTTTAAATATAGAAAACATTTTATTTTTAAAGTACACATATGATTTCTAAAACAGAAAAGCAAGCTAATTTCAAGAAGACCATGAAAGGGTGAATAGTCATCATATCAGTTTATTCAGATTATGTACATTTTTGTACTAGGAGAAAAAGAAGTTCAAACCTCATCATAAAACATAGTCCATAATTACCACAGAAATAAAAGTTTTTCTTCAGTGTAGATTCACTAAACACTATAGAACAAGATCTTAACCTGTTCTTTTCTGCTTCCTGAAAGAGTTTTAACACAATTACTGAGATTTCTAACCAAGAAATAACTTTAAGACGGGAAAACCCAATCCATTGTTTTCAGGTTCTGCAAAATCCACAACCGCTTGGATTTTGCTTGAATGTCATAAAGGGTTTTTTACCTTTTATAACCACCATGAAGGAAATAGGTTCTTTTTGTTTGCTTGTGGATTTGTGTAATCATCGATGCTAAATGTTGTTGGTCTGTGATAGAAAAAAAATGACTCTCTTGTATTTATTCATGTGCTAGAAATAGTATCTATTATATAAAAATGAGGAACTTCCCAAAAACCTTTATATTTAAACATTGTTGGAATATGTGGCATAAACCTTGGTTCTTTATTTAATAAACTGGAATACTCTATGATAATAAAAATGCTTTGTGGTTATTTCGGATAAGTGGAAACTTTTCTACAAAGACAAGTCCCAAAGAAACTGAAGACTCAAGTAGAAATAGCTATGGTGAAAGTGACTGCAGACTTACTCTTTGCATAGAGAAGCTGACATCATCTCTTAAATTGCCTGGATATCTGTTTGATGGCACTTAGTATGAAATGTGAAACTCAGTAGAGGCCAGGGAATTTGGTTCATGGCTTGGCAGGCTCTGAAGATTCAAACACCAGAAACATGGAATCAGTGCCTGGAACTATCCATTTTCCTCAATCCTGCCAGAGTTAGGTATTGACTGGAGGCAGGGCTGATTAGTGATAGAATTCCTCTGTTTGGCACAAAATAACAAGTAAATGAAATGCAAACTTGGTTCATTAATTTTCTTATTTAAAAAAATGTTTTTTTATGGTGCCTGTCTTAACATTTGAATTAAACGGTGTTTCACTGAACAGTAGAAGTGGGGGCTTGGGGAGAGGGATGACATACCCCTGCACGACTGGCTTCCTGTGAAGAATTGTGAGAACAGCAGGCTGCTCGCTTACATCATGACACCTGTTAGGCATATTTAGCTTTAAATCCAGACCAATTTATTTTGAAACTGGCAGCTGGGTAAGTCTGACAGGGTGGATTATAAGTAGTTCCATTCTTCAGGAACGTATGGAGATAACAAGACAAAGGCTAAAAGGTTTGGTATAGGTCTGTTTCTCAGATCTGTTTAATGAAAGTTTGCAAATAATCGAACCAGACACAAAAAACTAAACAACCTGTATACCCATATGTCCTCTGCTTAAATAGTAATCTATGTAATGATTTACTGTGCTGCTCATGAGAACGAGTTAGCCCTAGAATGATGTCTATGATATGTAAACAAGTGGGAAAAAAATTACTATGCAGATGCCTGTGTATACTATAAATTTATTTCTTAGGGAAAAAGCATTAACTTCCTTAAGTAGAGAATGGATTTTTCTTTTTTTTGAGAATGGATTTAAACTATATATACTAACCTGCAGAGAAATTGAATCAATGCAGTGTGTCTCTAAGCATAGTGATTTATTTTTTTTATTTTTTTTTTTTAGATTTATTTATTTATGCATACAGAACTGGGGTTCAGGCCAGAGGTGCAGGGGCGGCGAGAGGCTTCACCAGAGACAGAGTGGGGAGCAGAACAGGCAGATCGACGAAGTACACTAGATCGGAAGAGCAACTGCGGGTCAGGAGAGGTCTGCCACACCATGTGGTCACCTCCGGGGCAGGCGGAAATCGAAGTCATGCTGAAGTGGCTTTAGCTTCTCAGTGCAGTGCTTTAACCCACTGCGCCACCAGGGAGGGCCAAGCATTGTGATTTATTTTAAGGCATAGGCGTGTGATTGTTGGGGGCTGCAAACTCTGACTTCAGCAGGGCGGTAGGGCAGGCCAGCAAACTAGACCCTTAGTAATTCTTGATAAGAAAGGATTTACTTCTGTCATTATGCTCTTGGTTTTCTGTAACCTTATAGTTTAGTTGTCCCTCATTTCCTGCATTAATGTCTTCTGTGTTACTTGATTTTTCAGTAGTAAGATATCTTTTTTTTTTTAAAGATTTATTTATTTGTGCATACAGAACTGGGGTAAAGGCCAGAGATTTGGGTGGCGAAAGACTGCACCAGAGACAGAGTTGGGAGCAGAACAGGCAGATCCACGAAGTATACTGCTGAGGGGAGCAGTGGGCGGGTCAGGAGAGGTCTGCTGTGCCATGTGGTCATCTCTGGGGCAGGCGGGAATCGAACTCATGTCGAAGTGGCTTCAGCCTCTCAGTGCAGTGCTTTAACCTTAGTGCCACCAGGGAGGGCCAGTAAGATATCTTTTTAAGTTCATTTCTCATTTCTTTTGTGTATATTCAGTACCAGTTGCCTTTGTGGTTACCATGGGAATTACATTTTACATCCTAAAATTGTAACACTCCATTTGAATTTATACCAGTTTAACTAAAATAATGTACAAAAATTCTGTTCCTCCAAAGCTCTGTCCCCAATCCTTTTGGATGTTGATATCACAAAATCACATCTTCATGCATAGTTTGCCCACAAACATTAAATTAGCAACTCTTTTTAATGTATTAGTTTCTTAAATTATTTAGAAAACAAGATTTGGAGTTACAAGCCAAAGTTACGCAATCATGCTAACCTTTAGTCTAGCTGTTTTTTTTTTTTTCCCTTTAAATTAGATGGGACTATGGTGATGGTACATGGGTGAATTGGTGGGACGTCCATAGGGATTACAACCTAGATGGCAAAAGGCACAAAATGAAGAATGATGTAAAAAAAAAAAAAAAAAGATGTTTCAAAGAATTTGGAGAAACTCAGGAAGTACAACAACATTCAGCCACAGAAGTCAGGTTATCTGAATTCTACTTATGACTTTGACCTTAACTGCCTGCAAAACTTTGGGCTGGTCTTCTCACCTCTGCAGGCCTCAGTTTGCTTATTTGTAGCACAAAGGCTTTGCTAATATGGTCTTTAGATTCTCTTCAACTTTAAATTTTGTCCTTAAAAGTTCAGGGCTCTCATTTGGGATCTTGGGCCATGTATGTGTTGATGCTATTTGCACACTGAAAGTAAAACCTGCAGCTACTGTGACTTGAACAAGATGTTGTCAAGATCACCATGAAATTGCTTCTAGCTACCCTAACCCCAGGGTGAAGCAGGAAGAGACCTTCAGAACTGTTGCTGGCCCAGATACAAGGTACACACATTGAATGTCCCTAGCATATGGCCATGATTCTTTGTGTGCAGCAAGGGGTGGTAGTGGGCTTCTCCATGTCTGACTTTCTCTTAAAAACCTTGCTGCTATTGTGTCAAATCTTTCTGGGGTGTGACTCAAAAAAAAGCTTGAAAAGCAATTGAGGTTGTCCTTAACATGCTCAGTGCTTTTGACATAAAGCTACAAATGAGTCAGAAGCTTTTATAGATCACCCTGGAGAATTCCAGAAGATTTAAAATTTAAGCAATTTGGAAGTTTCTTTTTCTTCATCTCCCTCCTCTCTCTCCATTCTTTCTTCCTCCAAACTCCCTTCTTTGACACTGAAACATTAACTGAGAGGCAACCATATGTGATTCTAAGCCTTCATATGTATCATCTAACTTTATCTTTAACAAATATCTTGTGAGGTAAATGCTTTTATTTAGTATACATGTCCATTTTGGACCCTTGAGGCATAGAGGTTCAAATTGCCTACATTCATAATGTTGAAGAGAGCCAGGGTACATCCTCGGGTACTTGGGCTCTGCAGTCTGTGTGGCAGCAGCACACATACAAGGACAGGAGAAGGCTGGTCCACACCCTGGACCACTGGCACTGGAGAATACCTCGCAGAGATGAATGGTGTGGTTCAACCACCAATTGTGGAATAAATAAATGAGGGAGCCCCTAGGCTAGGGTGCTGACTGCGTCTCTGTTCTACAGTGAGGAAAGGCAACATGGCTACCCAGAATATGCCTCATGCAGTGGCGACAAAAAGCTGCTCTCTATAGAGCTCTATGTGCTCCACACACCATCTTAGACAAGGTTGCCCCACGCCAAAGTAAATCACTGGGAGCATTTTATTGTTCCAATATTTAAATATTTACTAACTTAGGAAGTATTTAAAATGAAGTAATTTATGCCAAATACAAAATGGAGCCACTAATGTCAGCACAACCCATTTTTTAAAAACATTTTTTAAAAAAGATTTATGCATACAGAACTGGGGTACAGGTCAGAGGTGCAGGGGCGGTGAGAGGATTCACCAGAAACAGAGTGGGGAGCAGAACTGGCTGATTGACACCGTACACTGCTGAGGCAAGCAGTGGGTGGGTCAGGAGAGGTCTGTTGCGCCATGTGGGTCACCTCCAGGGCTAGGATCAAACTCATGCTAAAGTGGCTTTAGCTTCTTAGTGCTGTGCTTTAACCCGCTGCGCCACCAGGGAGGGCCCCCTTTTTGTTTAAAAAAAAAAAAAAAAACATTTTAAAAGCACAGGTTTATTAGGAAAAGGAGTATGAAAGAGGTACCTGCATAGTCACAAGCAGTCAGAACAAACCTATTTTTTTGGTAAGTAAATTACACAATGTCCAATGTCAAAGGGAACACAGAGGAAGAATTTTCCTGAACTTTATCTGAACAACTAGATACACTGACCCTGGCAAAGAAACTAAAAAAGCTATAAAACCAACTGGGTACTGAACACACTCCAGATGCATCTCTACATGAAACTTCATTTGCGACATGCCACTCTCTCAGGCAGAGGCTGCAAAGCCCTGTTCCTCTGACTTTCTAAAAAATGCCTCTGCTGGGACCAGGGCCTTGCCTGCTTTGGTCTTTGGTTTGATTATATTTGAGAATATTAGTCTTACAGTTTTAATAAAGTTGTTAATAGGTAGAGTGAATTTGTGGGCTCTCCTGCCTCGCTCAGTCTGATGATCAGGTTCATTGGGGTTTTATTTGTCATGAGTTATTACCCGTTTGTTAGTTTAATACACTACAAAAAATTGATATTGTGGAAAGACAATTGTGTGTGAAACAGTAATTTTGCTCACAACAGCAGAGTTAATCACACAAGATGACCGCAGGCTCACAAGCATATGGTGCCATGGATAAGCAGCTGCACCTGTGGGTGCCACAAAGTGCCCAGAGTTGGGCCTTGGGAGAAGATGAGGGAAGTGGACCCAGGAGCCAGGACCACAGAAACTGCAGCATCCCTTGTCGTGAGGTCCACCCACAGTACTTTAGCAAACTCACATCCCACTAAGAAATTAAATAAAAATATTTTCCCTCTTACCCCTTTTAGGGTTGCCAGTTGGAGTTTCACCCACTAATTTTAGCATCTTCCGTAGATTTTGCCTGCTCAGTTATTACTGTGATACCAATAGTTATGATTTTTGAATGTCTTTCTTCTTACTATATTTGTTGATTGAAATTCTGTTGCCCTTTCTCTCCCATTTAATCATTTGCTTTAACTCGAGTATCTTATTATCATTTATTTTGTTGAAATCTACAACATTTTTTTTTTTAATATTTACTTTTATTCATGCATACAAGAACTGGGTGTAGGAGGTGGAGAGAAGATTCACCAGAGATGGCTTGGAGAGCAGAACAGGCAAATCTACTGAAATACACTGCTGAGGATGGGAGCAGCTGCAGACTGGAGAGGTCTGCTGTGCCATGTAGGTCAGCTTCCTGGCCTGGGATCAAACTCATGCCACAGTGGCTGGTGATAGCTTGAGAGTGCGGAGACTTTGACCTTTGTGCCACCAAAGAGGCCCCCCACCACAATTTAAATGACAGAATAGTATTCCAGTTACAACTGTGCCATGAATTATTCAGTTCCTCAGAGTTGAACATTCAGAATGTTTACAGTTATTTGATACTATTAATGGCGTCTGATACCGTCTACATAAATCTTTGAATTTTTATGTGCTTAAATTAGTTTGACAGTGATATTATTGGATGTTGGAAAAGTTTATATATAATTTGATGTTTTTATCTAGACACTGAACAGGGAAATCAGAGTCCACACTACCTAGGCTACCCAGCTGTGAGCAGAGAGGCAATAATAGATCCCTGAACTCAGGAAGGCGGGTAGCGTGGATGGAGTCACCATGACAGCAGCCAAAACCTGAACATGTATCAATAAAGTTATTGAAGTTGAAGAGACTTCCGGTAGGGGCATGTCTGTTTCCGCCAGGGCCTAGATCCTTTGCCTGCAACAACCAGCCGGAAGTATTTATAGCTTTTAAAGCCACGTCTGTCCTGACCCCACACACCAGGGAAATGTTTCCGGGGTCACGTTACTCCGGCCCTCTCTGCCCAGCCGCCGGTGCCGCGCTGGAAACCTACGTTCTCCCGGAAGTGGCCCGGGCTTCTCAGTCGGGGTCCCCACGACCCGGCTGTTGCTGAGGGTCGCTGGGGCTGCAGTGATGGCGGAGGCAGCGTTGTTGCTGCTGCCCGAGGCGGCGGCGGAGCGGGACGCCCGGGAGAGACTAGCTCTCTGGGATGGGAGACCGGACACGACTGCGCCGCTGACCGACAGGCAGACCGACTCGGTGTTGGAGCTGAAGGCGGCGGCTGAGGACCTGCCGGTGCCGGACGAGGTGAGGCGGAGGGGAGACGGAGTTGGGATGCACCTCTTGTGGGACTGCGGTCCCCTGTCCAGGGCCACTCCTCTCCGGTCACGGTGGCGGCTCCATCAGGAGAGACCCTTCACTTTCTTGGGGTGTCAGGCCTGGTTTGCTGGCATTGCCGACTTGTCCGTCTGCGCCGATGCAGCTGCGGGGTTGCCCAGTGACTGATGTCCACCGGCTCCCAGCCCTTCCCCAGCAGCGTGGACAGTTGACTGGGATCCTTGCGGGAACTTGGCCTCAGAGCCTTGCTTTGGGTGTCTTGCCCCAGGTGTCAAGTCCCTGGTGTCAGCCGAGAAATTATCCTGCTACCCACCTTCTCTCGGAAAGAGTGGGCGCTGAACCAGGTGCTTGGTTCGGGACAAACTCCTATTGGTATTCGTTTACCACCTGAATGAATAACCCTGTTTTTTCCGTGGGGAGATTAAAATCTGATCCTGGGTCGGTTTCATTCATTCCATTCTGAGCCCTCCAACAAGTGCAGGTTATGGGAGATCCGATTTACATGATCTATAGCAAAGTCATACAAATACATTTTCTAAAGTTGAGTCGGTGTTGTATTAGATAATGCTGGTTTTCAGCTTAGTGTCAACCTTAAGTCCTAGATACCATTGGGATATCATGCATATCACTGCTTGTGTGATTCAATTCAGTTAGCAATAACAGCAAGGTGTATATATTGTGAATTGTCAGTTTTTAGATAGTTGACAGCCTTTTTCTAGTTTTGAACATCAAGTCTAATAGGATTATTTTGTTGGTGATGATTACGTTCCCTGTTTTTACATGATCTGGAATTGTGTCCAAAGGCAGATTGAGTTTAGAGACTGAGACTTTTTTTGGCCCTCAAACTGTAGAGGTTAAAAATACTGATTTTCACATTCTTTTCAATTTCACTGACTGCCCTGCCATAGAATGTAAATGCTTTCTTTGGATTTCTCTGTCCATCTGCAGAATGCTGTGCTGGAAATGTATTTGAAACAAATGAGGAAGTAGGTGGAAATTTCTTAGACTTGGCTATCGAAAAGTATTTTATGCTTTGGGTAATAGGAGTTGTTTGATCTGTTAATATATTCTTTGTCAGTTTAAAATTGATTTGGCCTTTTACTTGAAGCAGGGTGCTCATATACTGTAGCACCTGGGAGGAACATAGTTCACATAAAGTAACCCAATTTATTTTTGTTGTTATGGATCATAAACTTTTATTTCTTGTTTTCATTGAGCATGAAAGAAAAGATTTGAATTGTAGTAAATGGAACCTATATTTTCACACCATTCTTTCATATTTATGGAATATAATATCAACTGTTACCCCCATACAGTCATTTGACATATGTGCTTACTCTGGGCTAAAAATTGATAGAAAGACAAGTAATAAAGACAAATTTCCTAGCATCATAGAACTGACATAATTCTAAATGTTAGGAAACTAGGAAATTGTAAAAAGGAAGAAGGTAAGTTCAGAATTGACTCATGATACAAGGCAAATAAATAGTGTAGTATAAGACAAAGGTATGAGGGCGTGCCCTTTTGCATTATGAGAGATGTTTCCAAGAAAATGACAGTGTAAGGTGAGAATTCATGATGGAAAGCAAGAAACCAGCTTGCAAATATGAGAGAAATAATATTTCAACAGAAGGAAAAAACAATGCGAGGTCATGGGTAAGGGATGAATTGACAAGGTTAAGGATTTAGTGAGATTCTTCTGGTACATTCAGTCTTGGTATTGGGTTTTTGTGAGAATGAAATAACTTGTTTATCTATGCTGGAAATCTTTTTTTTTTTTTTTTTAAAGATTTTACTTATGTATACAAGAACTGGGGTACAGGCCAGAGGTGCAGGGCGGTGACAGGATTCACTAGAGACAGAGGGGGAATAGAACAGCAGATAGACTGAAATAAATGCTGAGGGGAGCAGTGGGTGAGACAGGAGAGGTCTGCTGGGCCATGTGGGTCACCACCTGGCTGGGAATTGAACTCATGCTGCAGTGGCCGAGGATAGCTTCATAGTGCTGTGCTTTTAACCCATTGTACCACCAGGAAGGGTCCCATGCTGGCATCTTTAAAATAGAAGTTCTCATTGCTTTTTATCTCTCTACAGCCCTGTTTCTCTTTATTGAAGTGTTTTCTAGTGGAAAGATTTTGGAATTGAATTTTTATCCTCACTACTATTAGATCAACATTAGTGCTGAAAACAAAGTGCTTCAGTTTTTATTTTGTTCATCCAGTATATTTCTAAAAGATTTTCTGTAGTATTCTGCAGTTTTCACAAGATAAATTACTTACTGAACAACAGAAATTGGTTAAATTAGTTGAATAGTAGTTGGCCAGCTAACTCAGAACATATAAAGTTCGTAACTCTTGTAGAAAATAGCCTTCTTTTTCATGAAGGAGAGCTAGTCTAACTTGGTAAAGAGTTTTTTTTTTTTAACATATTTATTTGGGATTAGATAAAAGAATTTTCAGTAGAATATTAGGGGGTTCGGTTCTTTATAGCCAGGGCAAATTTTTAGTAGTGAGATTCTTTCTGCTAAATTTATTAATTCTTGATAAAATTATTTCAGATAAATAATTTATCTGAAATTTATATGTAATTTCCTTTCAGGGTTGTTGTTTTCTTTAGGCTGTGTGACCTTACACATGACTTTTAACTTCTCTGAGTCTGATTTTTTTCTTATGAGAATTATTTCATGGGGGGTTATGAGAATTAAATGAAGCTGTATATATAAAATGCTTATGGCAAACTATGCGCTGGTATATTATTCATGTGCGTTTATCCCCATATGATTTATACTTTAAAAGACAAGATACCACCTGTGCTGGTATGGGTGTCACTCCTGCCAAAATTAGAAAAGATGTTCAGTGTCTCGTAAGAGTTAGGTACCTCTCAGACTCCATCTGTACCTCTTCAGTGGTTTACTCCAAACAAAAAAGTGGCATCACTTTATCAGTTAGAGAATGAATTGAGTACAGAAATGATCTTTTCCACTCTAGAACTGTGTAGTATGTAAAGTTTGGGAGAGAAAGGGGCATTTGCTTGTTTTTTTTCCCTGGGTCTGTTCAGCTGTTCAGGCAAGGCTTGGTAGTTTGTTGAAATTATTATTTAATATGTTAGTGTTTCTCTTGACATAACCTATACAGAAGCTCTCCAGGACTACCAGTCTTTGGAAACTGGCTAGAGCTGTGCTTTTCTCTCTGTGCTATCTCATCTCATTCTTTCTCATGAGTACCTGGGGGGAGGTCTGTGGAAAAGACCACACACTTGCCTTGCATCTGGTTTCCAGGCATTCTGTGCGCACCCTCTAATCTTTAGCAACTTGCAAGAAGTTTTAGCTGAATTCTTCTTACCTGCATGTGTAGTACTTATCATTTATTTCTTTTAGTCATTAGTCAAAGGTGAGCCAGTGCTTTCATCCTGTCTCTTTGTGAAGCTCCCTGACTTTTCCTTGGTTTTAAACTGTGTGGTTATTCTTTGACTATGGTTTTCTGGTGGATTCAAGAATAATTAGGTTTTTGCAAATTGTCTTGTTAGTGTGCAAACAACACTCTGTGCAGCTCTCTTAGTTTAGCTTACATGTACATGTACTTTCTGATATTTTTTCCAGATCTGAGCTTTATATAAGTTCTGCCTCTTTTTTCCTTCCCCCTTAAGTATTGTATAAATAGTGCTAAGCTAGTTATCTGACTAAATTTTGTTAGATCTGTTTGCATACTAAAATTTAATTACTGGTAAAATAGAACTTTGTAAAAATAAGCTGTTTCCAAGAAGGAGTATAGATTCAGATTTATTAACTTATTTACACTGTTACTACTAGTAAGTAGAAATAGTAGATGATAAATAGCAGTAGCTTACATTTGAGTGTTTACTATGTGCTAGACATTTGTTAAGTACATGTAGCACCTTCTGGTGGATCGCCCCCCTTCTCTCCAAGGAGACAATTCTTGTTGGTAATTGAAGTGGTTCCACAGAGCAGATGCAGATGAAGCTTACCTTAGCACAGTTTTCTCTGTCCTCCAGAAACCCTGGTGTGAACGCACATTGCTGGTGACACGTTAGACTCAAGATAGATTTGAGTCTCAAATCACTAGATTTGGGAAACTTCTTACTGTCCTTTTATACTCAGAGATTATGGCACCATTCTGAAAGAGTTTATATGAACAAGTGATGTTCTTCACCAGGACTCCCTATAGAATCATTGGACTCATTTGTGGAGAAAAAGCAAATGAAGATTTTCCTGAACTCTTTTTTTCTGCACTTCCCAGCATTCCAAGAAACCTGTTTTCTTACTTACTCTTCACAAAAACCTGATAGAGACTATTATTCCTTATAGGGAAGAAATGAGGATTTGAAGCACTAGACATATATTGAGCGGGTGCAGTGTTTACCCCAGACCACTGTTACATGCGTAGCCACACTGGAGGGTCTAACCCTGCTTGAATGCAGCCCTCTAGCGGAGGGTTGTGTTTCTGAATTAGTGATAGTACACGTTGCATTAACTTATTTTAACTTTTAAGAGAAGATACTATTTTCAGATGAAATGTCTATATTTAGAAAACCATAAAGATGCAATTTTCTAACACCTTGGATCATATCTTACATAGGTAAATTTTAAAACGTCATACCTTAAAGATTGAAAACCGTATTGAAATGAAATAATAAGGCTTTTTGCTTTCCCTTTCATCCACCGCCACCTTTTTATAAGGTTTAAAAACAGTTTATCTGTATGACTATTGATAAATTAGTAGTGGAAACCAGAAGTTACTGTCAGTGTGATAGTGTTAGAATAATCCTTTGTAAATCTGTGTAGTTTTTTGTGAGAAGCTCTGAAATTCTTCCTGTTCAGTTGTAATTTCAAAATTTGTGTGGCAGAAGTGTACTAGTGGGTGGAAAGGGCAGGAGATAATATTTATTGATTATTTTTAGATGTCATTTATTATTGGTATTAGGTGTCATTGTTGATTGGTATTAATTGTGTAGACTCTGGATAGGACAAACTGCTTTCAACAGCACACACGTTTTGCCTTTGGTGCTAGTTCACAAGAGGTTTAAATAAGAATTGTGTGTGGGGTCCTCCCTGGTGGCACAACGGGTTAAAGCACAGCACTAAGAAGCTAAAGTCACTTCCGCACGAGTTCAATTCCCACCTGCCCTGGAGGTGACCACATGGTGCAGCACACCTCTCCTGACCCGCCCGCTGCTCCCCTCAGCAGTGTACTTCGTAGAATTGCCTGTACTTCGTAGAATTGCCTGTTCTGCCTCCCACTCTGTTGCTGCTGAAGCCTCTCGTATTTGTTAGCATTATATAGCATTGCTAATTTAAAACGATAAAACAAAACATTCTTTCTTGAAACAACTTAGATGGACTATCAATCTTGAGTTGTTTAGAATTTTTAAGATATTTAAATGTAGGTATTCTGATTTTCTTTTTTTTCTTTTAAAGCTCCCTGTCGATGACTTGAGCAGTTTAACAACCCAGTCACAGCCTGTTCTACAGAATTCCATAGTACCTCAGTCTACAGAGGATATTCTCTTGAAGGGTTTCATTTCCTTGGAAATGGAAGAAGAAAGAATTGAAACTGCACAACAGGTGAATGACAATATTGTTTCTTAGGGTGTTTGATTATTTTATATGTCTCAGGCAAGGCCAATAAAAAAGGTTTTAATCAAAAGTTCTGAACATCTGAAACAATATTTAACATCAAATCTTTATGGAATATTCTAGAATATTCTTGAATAGTTGTGGCTGCTTAAGTATTTTAAATGAGCTTATTGCTCAGTTTTATTTACAAGACATTGAATTATGATATTCCTAGTTTGGATGTTGATAGAATATATTTATTAAGGCTTCAATATTTCATGTACTCTTGACTTCTCCCAGTGTATGTCTTTGTTAATGTTTTCCTCCAGCAAGCATGTGCATACACACACACACACCTCTGCTTGCTATAAGGTAATTCTTTTTTTAAAAAGCTAAATATTCTCTTGAACTCCTACACTTATTTTTCAATAATGTACGTATGCAGTCTTCCCTTGATCTTTGTTTTTTCCTCATTACTGCCTTCCTTTGTCTTTTCTTCCTTTCCTGTTGAGAATCAAAGCTGAGACATTTACCAAGTAAAACATATACTAAATTGTACATATAGTTAGTTGGAAAGGCAGTGCTGCTAGGTGATTAAGTGCCCCAGCTGTTAAGCTAGGCTGACTTGCATTGAAAATCACCTCCATCACTTACCATCTTTGGATTTAGGCAAATTACTTGTCTTCCTAGGGTGGTTTCCTGAAGTGTTAAACAAGGATAAGTAAATATCTATGTGATAGGATTTTTGTGAGAATTAAATAAGATAATGTATGTGGCAGAGATACAATTAATGCTTGGTAAACAATAGTCAAGGAACTTGGCAGCCTAATATCCTGAGAGAAAAAAGCATTTCCCTGACTTCAAATCCCACTTGAGAATTAAGAGAAGGTAATCTTGCATTGTATCTATGAATTTATTTGGACTTAATTTATAACTGCATATCTCTTTATAAGACTTTAAAGAAATTGAGTATATTGACTTATAACTTACATACTATAGGATGTACTTGGTAAGTTTTGTGTCAAGCATTTATAACTGTAACTACCACTGTAATCAAGATAGAAAACATTTTCATCATCACAAACAGTTCCTCATACTCATTTAAGGTTACCTCTTCCACTTCTTTTTAGTCATGAATTTTTTTTAAAGATTTAAAAAATTATTTATGCATATAGAACTGGGGTACAGGCCAGAGGTACAAGGGGTGAGAGGATTCACCAGAGACAGAGTGGGGAGCAGAACAGACAGGTGTACTGAAATACACTGCTGAGGGGAGCAGTAGGTGGGATAGGAGAGGTCTGCCACACCATGTGGGTCACCTCCCTGACCAGGGATTGAACCATTGTGCTGTAGTGGCTGTGGATAGCTTCATAGTACTGTGCTTTAACCCATTATATCACCAGGGAGGGCCCAGTCATGAATATTTTTATTGGTGGGAGGGCCAGAATTCAAACCTAGGTTTAGCTGATGCAAAAAGTTCATGCTTTTTGTGTTCTAACAGTTCTTATTAGATAACATTCAAATTTGGCAGTCTAGCAAGTAGACATTAGCCTCTTAGAAAGGAAATGTTAATTCTTATACATTGTATTTTTAAAATTTTTATTATAAGTTTATTTTTATATCATTGTGTACTTTTTTTTCATTTCAATTGTAATCCCCACGGGTTTCCCATCACCAAGTCACCCGTGTGCCATCACCATAATCCCGTGCACTTCCCTTCCCACCCCCCCATTTTTGATCCCATTCCCCACTCCACCCCCACAAAATGTCTCTGGTATATGGCTGTTCATTATTCTTATCATTTTCTTGCCTGGTCCGTTATACTCCTGCTATGAGCGAAACCATCCGGTATTTTTCTTTCTCTTTCTGGCTTAGCTCACTAAGCATGATCTTTTCCAGCTCCATCCAAGTTGCTGCAAAACACATGTGTTTCCTTTTTTTGGTTGCTGAGTAATATTCCATTATATGTATGTACCACATCTTTTTAATCCAATCATCTACTTTTGGGCATTTGGGCTGCTTCCATGTTTTTCCAATTGTAAATAAAGCAGCAATAAACATGGGGGTGCAGGTATCTTTTTCAATCATTGTTTTTGTATCTTTTGGGTAGATAGCTAGGAGTGGGATTGCTGGATCGTAGGGAAGCTCCATGTTTAGCAGTTTGAGGAACCTCCAAACAGTTTTCCATAGTGGTTGTACTAGTTTGCATTCCCACCAGCAGTGCAGGTGAGTTCCTTTTTCTCCACATCCTCACCAACATTTGTTGTTGCTAGTTTGAAGATGTGCTATTCTCACTGGGGTATACATTATATTTTTAATGCATTTCCTTAATTAGCTGAAAATAGCCAGTATTCTTTATACCTTTTGCTTTTTCTTAGTATGGTAGATCGTGGGTATAGAATTAAATTGTTTCTCAATTTTAAACCAAAGAGTAAGACTTAGTATTTACCTTTTGACTTGCTGTTTAGTGTATAGCTACTTCACTTTGTTTCGTTTAATAATTCTATTTACTTTTCCAGTTTTTCTCATGGTTTGCAAAGCTGCAAACTCAGATGGAACAGGATGAAGAAACTAAATATAGGTATGTGGTTCTTGCATTTATTGGCTATCTTAATTTTTAGACCACAGTCATCTGAATCATTTCATAATCTGTGCCTATAAACAAAATTAAGGCATAAAGACAATTTTAAAAAGAACATTTTCCTCAATAGCCAGAAAGAGCGATTGGGTCATTAACTGATAGTGGGAGTTGAGTAATTAAAAAATTACATCATAATTAACAGATTAGGGCACATATTGGCTTTTAGATAACTCTAGAAAGTGTGTGTTCAAGTGGGAGTTTCACAGAAACTCTGAGAGTTATTTGCCCTTTTTTTAGAGACTTCAGGGATGGCCTTCTAGAGTAGGTGTTACTATGTTGTTCTGTTTGTGTATATTGATAGCAGGAAAGAATGGTGATGCACAATTTCAGGCTGATTTGGGGATTTTGGTTTGAGCGTCTGAATTCCTTTAACAGTTACTAGGTGACTTATTGCTAGGCATCTAGTTAGGCTCTTTGATATGATTCTATTTAATTTTCATAGCAGCTCTGTATGGAAAGGCATTATTAATCCCATTTTACAAATGAGCAAACTAAAGCCTGGAAATATTAAGTAACTTGCCTTATGTCATGGAGATGTGGCAGAGTTGGGACTTAGATTCATATGTTTGAATTCACATCCACAATTCTTTCTATAACATACCATCTCTCAAAGGCAGAAGTGATCTGAAGGGTCCACCTGCTTGATACCTTGGGGTGGTCCAGTTGTCCAGTCTTTGAAAGTTGAGCCAAATATTTTACTGCCTCACACAGGAAGAGCCAGTTTATGGATTCAGGGTTGATTCTTTTTGTTGCTCAGAGTTTCAGTGATTTTCATTCTTAGTATTGAAACTGTTGTGAGACAGTTTTTGGTACACTTCTGAATATAATAAACTTTTGTGAATAGGCCAGACTTTCTTCTTGAAATTTAAGCATTTTAGGAAAAATGAGACTGTTGTTGAATGACTGTTTATTGGGGGAAAATATTATTGCCAATCCCCTTTTGGTTCTGTTTTTTAGACAGATGAGGGATTACTTGTCTGGGTTTCAGGAGCAGTGTGATGCTATATTGAATGATGTAAACAATGCTCTTCAGCATCTGGAGTCATTGCAGAAACAGTATCTTTTTGTGTCCAATAAGACAGGAACCCTACATGAAGCCTGTGAACAGCTCCTAAAAGAACAGGTAATTTGGAATAGGAGAGAGGGTCAGTGATTATATTTAATATTTTATCATTAAATAGATGATTACAGTTTAATTTTAATTTCCTGAATTTTTCCATATATTTGAGCAGTGCTGTAGGTCCTGTACTGATACGCATGTAGATTATTACATTGACAACCTGATTTTATTCTAAATAAGTTTATGTCAACAGAAGCAAAGGCAAGCTCTGCTGTGTTTTGAGCTGTTAGGTCTCAGTACAGTTTCAGAGTGATGGGGTTATGTTAGTCTGTTCTGACTGCTCTTTATTGACACTTTTCAGACAAGCCATAGTGATTATAGAAATGGTAGTATATGAAAAGCTGAACTTGATGTAGGTTGCAGTTAAACTTGTGACTTAAAGATAGAATACTTAAGTTATATATGTATCTCTGAATTTTTCTCTAATCTAGTTTGTGTTTTTAAAAGCAATCATTATTTGATAAGAATGATGTAAGTTACTGTAATACTTTGCCTATTTTTGTCTATGGTTGCAGAAAACTTTGAACTCGTTCTGAAATCTTACATCCTACATAAGTAAATCTTATGATTAATATAAACCTGTATGTCTAGTATAAATTTATGCCATTCAGTTTTGAGACTGGAATGTTGATTCTTATATTCTTAAAATAATTGATTTTTCTCTTTTAAATGCAAGTCGGAACTTGTTGATCTGGCTGAGAACATTCAACAAAAGCTTTCCTATTTTAATGAATTGGAAACTATTAACACAGTAAGCATGCTTTTTATTTTTGTAAAGTTAGTGACTCATGTATTTTCTTTTTTGAATATAATATTTATAAATAGGCTTACATCATATTTTGGCTTATTAATTTACTTGCTGATAGATACTGCTGTTTGTAGTCAATGATACTCCATTTACCATTTAAATTACTTCAAATATGACTTAAGTAATCTTAAGTTCTATTATTAAGGTCTCTTTATTGGTTACCTCTTACGATATTTATAAATTTTATTTATATATTTTTGCATAGATGAACTGGGATGTAGGCTAGAGGTGAGGTAGGGATGTAGGGAGTGGTGAGAGGATTCACCAGAGACAGAGTAGGGAGCGAAACAGGCATTTAATGAAATGCATTGCTAAGGGGAGCAGTAGAAGAGAGGAGAGGTCTGCGGTGCCACATGTGGTTAACTCCCTAGCCTGGGATCAAACTCCAAAGAATTGATAGCTCTGAGACTTAACCTGTAGGCCATCAGAAAGGCCCTTGTGATATCTTATTTGTAAGCTGTGAAGAAGAATATAAGAAATAATATTAAATCTTATCATGGTTGAGTTACTATAAACGTAGTATTTCTTTAAACTAATCCTTTTTTAATTTGAGGAAAAACAGTTTTCATAATATATACTTGTCTCTCAAGGTAATAGTCTATAAATACTGCTATGTAGAGCCCTCCCTAGTGGCGCAGTGGGTTAGGATGTAGCACTGCAAGCTACCCTCAGCCTCTTCAGTGTGGGTTTGATCCCCGTCCTGGAGGTGATCCACATGGCGCAGCAGACCTCTTCTGTCTGCCCACTGCTCCCCTCAGCAGTGTACTTCGTCAGTCAGCATGTTCTGTTTCCCTCTCTGTCTCTGGTGAAGCCTCGGACCACCCCAGCACCTCTGGCCTGTACCCCATTTCTATATACATAAATAAGTAAATCTTCTAAAAAAGAAAAAAGACTGCTTTGTAAGTTATATCTTTGTGTGTTTCTGACTCAAAAATTAATTAAGACCACATATAATTTATATTAATTAAAATTATGAAATTAATTATAATTATTGTAGTTTACAAAGAGATAGAAGTAAAACTAAAATAATGGACTCCAAGGGGGAAAATAGCTCATTGCCAAACTATTTGTATATCAAAATAAGGAATAAATGGGTGTTTTTACTTATATGTTATATATGTTGCTTATGTCCATAATTAAATTTACATGTTTATGATATATTAAATATAACAAATCAGTTTTCTGCAGCTTACCGTATAATTTTACATATTAAATATTTTAATATATGTTGTTTATATTTAATATACAGCTTACATATGTATGCTTATACTTATATATTTTGTTTTCATAATATGACTACTGAATATGGTATGATTATAGTTAATTCTTTAGCAAATTAGGAAATTGCTAAGTGTTTGAAAATGGAAACTATGTATGTTGTGAAATACTAGAAAATGAAAATCTAGGTACTCAGTATTTTATTCTAATATAACATTGCACAGTATAGTAATATAAAATATTCCCTAATTCATGAAGAGTCTCTATTAAAGCTCTTTAGGAGTAAATTCAGTTGAATTAGTATTTTTTTAATCTGTCCTTTATCGTTATACATGAACTCCATTTGAGGACATTATGTTGACACTTAAAATGTATTGTAAAGACATTTGTATACTATGTTATATCCTAAAAAGAAATATGCCGATCTTAATACATAATTATCAACTTATAGCATATGTATTTTTGTGATTTAAGTTTAATTTTTTTTCCTTTAAAGAAATTGAATTCTCCTACGCTGTCTGTGAATAGTGAAGGATTTATACCTATGCTGGCTAAGTTAGATGATTGTATAACATATATCTCATCTCATGTAAGTCATAGTATTTTTGTATATTTTTAAGAAATCTTAAAGTTCCTAATATATCACTTCTTGTGCTGTGAAGTAAATATTTCTTCTACTTTCATGAAAATACTGGAAGAAAAACTGTAGCAAATTTTTAGTCATTATCAATAGTGATGTAAAATATACTTTTAGCTCATGAACACCTGATGTAGAATGAGGTCCTACTTGACAGAACTTTGTCTCATATAAAAGGATGAGTGACTTTTAGTCTGCTGACTCCCTCCCTTTCATGCTAGATACTTCTTTGGAGACAGACTTTATTATTATTATTTTTTAAATTTTTTACAAGTTTATTTTTACATCATTTTGTACATTTTTTTTTTCCATCTCAATTGTAATCCCCGCGGGTTTTCCATCACCAAGTCACCCGTGTGCCATCACCATAATCCCTTCCACTTCCCTCCCCACCCACCTGCTTTTGATCCCATTCCCCACTCTACCCCCACAAAATGTCTCTGGTATATGGTTGTTCATTATTCTTGTTATTTTCTCGCCTGGTCCATTATACTCCTGCTATGAGTGACACCATCCGGTATTTTTCTTTCTCTTTCTGGCTTAGCTCACTAAGCATGATCTTTCCCAGCTCCATCCAAGTTGCTGCAAAAGACATGTGTTTCTCTGTTTTGGTTGCTGAGTAATATTCCACTGTATATATGTACCACATCTTTTTAATCCAGTCATCTACTTTTGGGCATTTGGGCTGCTTCCATGTTTTTCCAATTGTAAATAAAGCAGCAATAAACATGGGGGTACAAGTATCTTTTTCAATCAGTGTTTTTGTGTCTTTTGGGTAGATACCTAGGAGTGGGATTGCTGGGTTGTAGGGAAGCTCCATGTTTAGCAGTTTAAGGAAATTCCAAACAGTTTTCCATAGTGGTTGTACTAGTTTGCATTCCCACCAGCAGTGCAGGAGAGTTCCTTTTTCACCACATCCTCGCCAACATTTGTTGTTGCTAGTTGTTTGGAGATGTGCCATTCTCACTGGGGTGAGGTGGTATCTCATTGTGGTTTTAATTTGCATTGGAGACAGACTTTATTACATGAGGGAAAATAAGGGCCAGAACCTTTGATTTAATTATTTGTTTCTATTCCCCAAGGATTTATAGCTGTATTTATTTCCCCAACACTTTATTCTTTTCCTAGTTGGGCTTAGTATACTAGCTCTGATGTTTGTAGGGTACTGAAAATATATTTTGCTAAAAACTGAAAGTACTCATTCATTCCTGCTTTGTGTCAAATACTGGGGATTTGGCTGTGAATCAGACAATCATAAAATTTGTCTTCATGGAGCTTAAATTACATAAGACCTTCTTATATATAACTTTATTAGCACCACACTGTCACCAACTGAGCTAACCCCCCCTCCCTGTATATATAAAAGTACATAAGTGACACATTGGTTATCAGTGTAAATGCTTTTTCATTGTTTTCACTTTCCCTTTCCTTTACAGCCGAATTTTAAAGATTACCCTGTATATTTATTGAAGTTTAAGCAATGTCTTTCCAAGGCTCTGCATCTAATGAAGACATACACTGTGAATACACTACAGAACCTTACAAACCAGTTGTTAAAAAGGGTGAGTTAACTGGTGAAGTGTTTATATCTCTCTCATTTTTAAAGATTTATTTTAACTTTCTTTAGCATACAAGAGCTGGGGTATAGTATAGAGGTGTAGGGGGTTGGTGGTGAGAGGATTCACAAGATAGAATTGGTGAGAGGATTCACGAGATAGAATTGGGAACAGAACAGACAGATTGACTGAAATACACTGCTGAGGAGAGTAACAGGAGAGACAGGAAAGTTCTGCTGTTCCATGTGGGTCAGCTCCCTGGCGAGGGATGGGACTCATGTAGCAGAAAGCTTCATAGTGCTGAGACTTAACCCTGTGCACCACCAGGGAGGCCTGCTCTTTGACATTTTTCTCAGTGAGCTTTTGGTTAGTGTAAAGGCCAAGTGGTAGCCATATAAAATAGTTTGTGGATATTTTATTTCCTTTTATAAAAGTTTTAAATAATTTTTAATAGAAGTAAAATTACTTTATTACATCATATTTTTATTCTTAGCAGTGACCTTAATGTAGTATGTACACATGTTGATTCTCAGTGATGAATGCTTGAAACTTATATCTGATTTTCTGAATAATTATTGTTTGCTAACTCTTCCTTCTCTGTACTCTCCATGTTTCTCTAGGATCCTTCATCTGTACCTAATGTGGACAATGCCTTCACGCTATTTTATGTGAAATTTCGAGCTGCTGCCCCCAAAGTTAGAGTAAGTCTTTATATAAATAAGATATTGGTATGAAATTTATTTACCAGCCCTTTTGAAGCACTGCTCTGGCACACAAACCTTGTGCTGTTCCAAGCTTCCAAGCCCCCCCCCTTTTTTTTTTAAAGATTTATTTGTTTATGCATACAGAGCTAGGGTATAGGCCAGAGGTGCAGGGGCAGTGAGAGGATTCACCAGTAACAGAATAGGATAACTGATGACGCACACTGCTGAGGGGAGCAGCAGGCGGGTCAGGAGAGGTCTGCTGAGCCATGTGGGTCATCTCTGGGGTGGGGAGCGAACTCATGTTGAAGCCGTTTTAGCTTCTTAGTGTTGTGCTTTAACCTGCTGCATCACCAGCAAGTGTGCCCCCCCAAGCACACTTCTAATCCCTGTATTACTCTTTAGAAACAATCTAGATGTTCAGCAGTAGGAAAATGGTTTGGTATGTGATATATCCACCCAAAGGGTTCTTGTACATCTATTTAAAGCTGTATTTTTAATAAGGTTTATAATGATAATTCATTGCGTGTCTGCTAAGCCATTTCTATTTCACAGATTTTATACTCACAGTTTCATTCAATACTAAGAATTACTTAATCTTGGGAAATGTTTTAAAAGATTTTTTGAAAATGTTAATTTTTGAAAAACAGATTACCTGTGTACACAGTGAAAACTGAAAGAATTTGCTAAAGTATTATTTTTTGGTGTAATAGGTGATTTTTATCTTTGAATTTTTTAAATCTACAGATTATGAATATGTGTTGCTCTTATAATCAGAAAATAGGTGAAAGTATGACTAAAACAGATGAATTTTAAATGTATTTTTCTTTACTTTTTAGTCTCTTATTGAACAAATAGAACAGCGATCTGAAAAAATACCTGAGTAAGTATTCAGAAGTTCCTCAGTTCCCAACTTACCTTCCTCTTGAAGTGTTGTTTTACAAAATCTTTGTGTCCTTGCTCTGTGTGGAGCAATTCCTTTGCATACTGGACACACTTTTTTCTTGTAGCACACTATTTTGAAGCGGGATTGCAGACCTGACTTAGTGAGTGTATAAGGCGTCTCTTTTTTCATAACAGGAGTTCCTCTTCTTGGGTAGGTGTTCCGTGTCTGCTTTGGGAAGATAAATCTTTTTTTTAGAGTTTTGGCATCCTGTTCTTGTATTTAGGATCATATTTAATTCAGTAAATTAGGATTTAACTTAATTTACTGAAATCAAACGTTTATCCTCTGATCTCATTTGCTTTTCACCAGGTATCAACAACTGCTAAATGACATTCACCAGTGTTACCTTGACCAGAGGGAGCTCCTTTTGGGTCCTAGCATTACTTGTACTGTCACAGAGTTAACTAGCCAGAATAACCGAGATCATTGTGCCTTGGTAAGTTTCTGCTGTTAGGGTTTACTGCCAGCCCTCCTCTGAGCAGTTTTGATGTACTAAAAGTTATACATGGCTGAACAAGTTTTGGTTTCCATGTCAATGCGACTTTTGTGGCTTTTCTTTCTGTTGTTACTGATCTAGTGTAGTAACATTGAACTTGACAAACTGTTCTCGTTTTGATCTGTATTTTGAGGTTTGGTTATTCATAAACGATGTTCCTTAAAAGGTGAAGTTTGAGAGTTTTGTGGATTTATAATGACAATTTAGTGTTGGCTTTTGATGCAAAAGTCTTTTTGTTTGTTTGTTTAGTGTGGTTTTAATTCATACTATAGAAAAAGATTCTTTTTTAAAAAAATTCCTTTCAACTAGAGAGATTGTTTTTATTGTCAAAAGTTTAGAAAATGAAGCATAAAGAAGAAAATAAAAGTCACTCACATTCCCATAATAAACCATTGAATTAATAAACCATTCTCATAATAAGCCATTTCAATAAACTATTGAAAATCATCCATTTTATGTTCTCCAATAAGTTGTTTTATGACTCTATATGTGTAATCTCTTTGGAAAGAAGGCATTTGCTTTATTTCATAAATGCTGGAGTCATTGTAGATCTTGATCTGTAGGTGGTATGTATTTGTTTCTTGCAGATTCGTAGTGGTTGTGCTTTTATGGTCCATGTATGCCAGGATGAACACCAACTTTACAATGAGTTTTTCACAAAACCAACATCAAAATTAGAGTAAGTGGTATACAGACTCTAACTCTTGTTTTTAAGATATAATTTCTTAAAGACCATTATGACTTATAGGAATATTTTAAAATCAGCTAGCATGTTTTGACTTAAGCAGTTATGTGAACAGAATATTGTTGGGTGGGACAGTACATATAAACATATATATTTTTTAAAGATTTATTTATGCATACAGAACTGGGGTATAGGCCATAGATGCAGGGGCGGTGAGAGGATTCGCCAGAGATAGAGTGGGGAGCAGAACAGGCATATGGATGAAGTACGTTGCTGAGGGGACCAGTGGGCAGGTCAGGAGAGGTCTGCCACACCATGTGGGTCACCTCTGGGTAGGGATCGAACTCATGCTGAAGTGGCTTTAGCTTCTTAGTGCTGTGCTTTAACTTGCTGCACAGCCAGGGAGGGCCCAGTAGTTGTATATCTTTAAATAAATGTGTAGCCTAAAGGCCTTGCTTTCATATTGTTTATAATACAGTTATGAAGACATGTATGTTGTAATAGTAGGAGTGCTGTATAGAGAATTAAGTGTTGGGATCTAGATTCTTTCATCTCCATTAAGTATAATAATTACTTCTAGTTAAAAAAATTCTTTTGTGTGAACAACACCATAATGATAAAGAAAAGAAACAGGAATCATGGAGTAGGCTGTAGTTTGCAGGATGCTTGATGTAGGATGTCCCTCAAGAGCAAGATCCTGGTCTTTTTCTTGACAGAGAACGGTGGGTCAAACTGCATTTTGGCCTTTAGGAAGGGTGAGTCCAGATGATATACACCCATTTCCCATCCATGGCTCCAATTTTATTAACGAGGCTTATTACTAATCAGTTCCTTGTGGGGGGCCGTGTGGGAGTGAGGGAGGTGGGAGAGACAAAGCACATCAGTATTGCTGCAGGACAATCAAGCATTCTGCTCTTGTCTAATTTGAAAGGAACCTTGTATGCTACCCTCACAAAGTTCTATGATTTTAATGTTGGAAGATAGTTAAAACTATAGGCACTATTTAAATCTTTTTCCTTTTCTTAAAATGTCTTTCATTGTTAGTCACTTTTGGCTTCTTTTTTTACAAAGATCCCAAAGTTATGATTCTTATAATGGGGAAGAGACAAATGTATCTCTGGTTTTTATTGGGGTGATCACTCCTAATGAAATACTATACATAGAGGAATACTATAATAGTATGAAGCATATAGACAACCTAACTTTATCTACAAATGTTTAAAATTGTGAAAATACTGGGTATTTACTTAAAGTCCTTTGAATTTCATTTATCTGAATCTGAAAATATTCAAGAATTTTGAATCTTATCTCTACTGTGGACAAATGTTGCCATTTGATTCAAGTGATGTAGAATATAAAAATAGGGTACATTGAAATTTTTTTGGATTTTGAAATGACAAATACAGAATTATGGCTGAAACAAGCAAAAGGTGTAATAAGTGGACATTTGACTATGGGCAGGTAATTTTAATTGGCTGAGGAGTGCTTATAAATTCTGAGTTTTTAAAGCAAAAATGTTGACAGAATTGCTTTTCAGTCTTTCACTTCTCATTATATGATATTCCTAGATAACTTTTCCAGTGGGTTTTTATTTTACTATTTTTTTATTGGGTGAAAGTAATGATATCTTTTAAAGCTATTAGAAAAGTCCTGAAAAGATAAACTACTAGTAACCATGTTTTTCTCTTTCATTATAGTGAACTTTTGGAAAAACTGTGTGTGTCACTGTATGACGTCTTCAGGCCATTGATTATTCATGTTATTCACTTAGAAACTCTGTCGGAACTTTGTGGGATTCTTAAAAATGAGGTGCTTGAAGATCACGTACAGAATAATGGTAAAGATAAACAAGTGATAATTTCAAGGGTCTTTTATGTATCATGTCACTCAATTAAAAAAATTCTGTTGTTGAACACCACCACAGTGATAAAAGGAACAGGAGTCATGGAGCAGGCTGTAGGGTGCAGGATGCTTGATGCAGGTTGTCTCTCAAGAGCAAGAACCTGGCTTTTTTATCAGCAGAGAAGGGTGGGTCAAACTGAACTGAAGATGAGCTTTTTCTCCCTTCTCACCCTCTCTACAATTTAAGTTTTTGAAGCTTGGGTTGATGTCTTGCACCTTCTGTGAATCGTGGTTCACCTTATTCTGTGACTAAAGGTACAGCTTAAGCAGGGAAAATTTTTAAATCTGGTCAGAATTAGTGTTAGAGTAACTACAGTTACTTTTCTTTTTGCACCTGAAATCTAGAGAGAATTGATTTTCTGCTTTGGGTTAGGCATTCTGGTATTCTTAACAGGACACATAAAAGAACTGATTATATTTTATAGTCTTGATTTAAAAACAGGAATTATTTTTGCATACCTTCATAGTAATGATTCTTCTTTTTTGAATTCACAAGTAAAAATAATTCATTACTTAATCTTTGATATGATTGTCATAGATTGATTTTTTAAATAATATTTAGCTACGCTGGTGCAGCGGGTTAAGGTGCAGCACTATGAAGTGATCCATAGCCACTGTAGCACACGTTCAATTCCCGGCCAGTGAGGTGACTCACATGGTGTGACAGAGCTCTCCTGTGCTGTCCACTGCTCCTCTCATCAGTGTATTTAAGTACATCTGCCTGTTCTGCTTCCCATTCTGTGTCTGGTGAATTCTCTCACCCCCACACCTCTGGTCTTTGCTCCAGTAATGAATCTTTAAAAAAGAGAAAGAGAAAAAAAAAATACAGGAATTATTTTCCTCACTTTGTTTTTCATTAGACACTATAGTGTATTATCCTTCAAGTTTCTTATTCTTTTACGTTTAGGTCACATTTTAATCCTTCTGAACTTAAGAGGAGGTTTTTTTTTTTTTAAAGATTTATTTATGCTTAGAAAAATTGAGGTACAGGCCAGAATTGCCGGGGGTGAGAGGATTCACCTGAGACACAATGAAATGGGGGAGGTCTGCTGCACCTTGGCTGGGGATTGAATTCAGTGGTGGTAGCTCTGAAATCTAACCGTTATTCTACCAGGGAGGCTCTTAGGCTGGGGTTTTAATTAATGTGAATGTTTCTGTGATTGTATAGTGTTTCTGTCCTCATAGCACTTCAAAAATTATTATTGAATTTCTGATATGTTTATATACTGGTGGTATTTTAAAAATTAAAAAATATCACATATAAACTTCACATTTTAGATTTCTACAAATTTTTTTGGTGTGAAAACACTAAGTAATTTATTATTCATGAGACTCATTCATTTGTAAACTGGAGATGAGAACACAATAAACTACCTTACCTATCTTTTATGACTGGTTTGAAGCTATGAGATAACTTAAAAAGCATGAAGCACTCTTCAAATTTATTTTACTCATATTAATAATAGAAATAATTTCACAGAATTCCAGAAAGGTGAAGGGCAGATTTATTTCCCAATATTAAAATTGAGGAAATTGACAGACATTCATTAAAATGTTTAAGGTCCTTGAGTCATACTGAAATAAAAGTGGTCTATCCTAGCCCACAGGGTTACAACTGAGATGGAAAAACGCACAAAATGATATAAAAATAAGTTATTATATTAAAAAAAAATGTCCCTGATCACAAATACAAAAAGAAAGTAGTTGGATCCAACTATTGGATGATTTAATAATGTTTTTGCTTGTATGAAGAAAGTATTTTTCTATATCTAAGGGAATGGCCTACTGCACCCTTTTTTGTTTTTTATCAGCTGAACAACTGGGGGCATTTGCAGCTGGAGTAAAGCAGATGTTGGAAGATGTGCAAGAGCGACTTGTGTACCGAACCCACATCTACATTCAAACAGACATCATGGGCTATAAACCAGCTCCTGGCGATCTGGCGTATCCTGATAAGTTAGAAATGATGGAGGTAGGGAGGGTCTCCTTAATTGCTCCACCCCACTTAACTTATGGATATTTTCACCTGCTAGTGAAATAGGATTTTTCTTTTTAATTCATATTCAAGATGTAAAATAAAGATAAACTTTATAACAAAATGCCAACTGATAAATGTAAATGAAAGGACAAATGTGAAAACCACCACTTCTAAATCACCCCCAATGTTATAACTGGTTTTAAGTATTACTCTCAATGTAATAACTGGTTCAGACAAGGATCATTAATGGTTGCAAAAACCATTAATAAAAAGATGTTGGGGAACTCATGTAATCTCAAAGTTAGCATATCATCATTATGAACAACAAAGGGGAAATATACTTTTATTATGGAGAACAAGCAATTACCACCTTAGTCAGAAGTGAAACAACCCGTTATAAAGAAGTGACATAATTAAGAAGTATCCAACTTCAGCTGTGTCATACTTTTGCCACAAAAAATGTTTAACCTCAATTTGTTAATTTCTGTAAAGAAGTCAGCTACCTTCTGTTAGGGATAGCATTAAATCTGTAGATCAATTTGTTCTCTTAACAAAGTTAAGTCTTTTGAATTTGAACACCAGATATTTTACAGTCACTAATTTCTTTCCACAGTGTTTTGTAGTTTTCACTAAAAATTTTGTACTCTTGTTAAATTTATTCCTAAGTATTCTTTTTGATGTGATTATAAATGGAATTATTAATTTCACTTTTGGATTGTTCATTCATCTTTGGCTTTTCATTTGTATAAAAATTTATTTGGATCTTACTTATTGATCTTGTATTTTGCATCCTTGCTGAATTCACTTATTAGTTCTAATATTTTTGAAAGGAGTGGCTATGATTTTATATATATATATATATATAAGATCAGATTATCTGCAAATAGAGATAGTTTTACTTCTTTCTTCCCCCTCTTGATGCCTTTCTCTTTCCCTTGCCCAGTCCAATGTTGAGTAGAAGTGGTGCAGCAGATGTCCTGATCTCAAGGGAAGAGCATGTAGTCTTTTAAGTATGATGTTAGCTGTGGTTTTTTGTTAGTGCTCTTTATTAGGAAGTTCACTTTTATACTAATTTGTTTAGTGTGTCCTTTTTTTCTTTAGATTTTAATTAGAAAGGGTGTTAGACCTTGTCAGATGCTTTATTCTGAATCTGTTGGATGGCTTGGTAATTTTGTTGTTAATGATGTATTGATTAATTTTTATATATTAAACCAAAGTTACCTTCCTAGGGTAAATCTCATTTGTTGTATAATTCTTTTTATGTGTTTCTGGATTTGGTTTGCTAGTATTTTGTTGAAGATTTTTACATTCATATTTATAAGAGATTCTGCCTTGTACTTCTCTCTTTTGATATCTTTGATTTTGTTATAATATGGCATCAAAAAAGTTAAGTTGGGGAATGTATAGGCTTATTCAGATTATCTATTTCTTGAATTAGTTTTGATAGTTTGTGTCTTTTTAGGAATTTTTCTGCTTAATCTTACATAGTTTAATTTGTTGGCATATGTTAATAGTTGTTACACTTACACTTTTATTTATATAATGTGGGTATTAGCGTACCCTCTTTTATCATTTCTACTTCTCTTCTTTATGAATGTTGTTACTGTAATATAGATAGACTGTTTTAATAGCTTTGTCTGATAGGGTGTTAGGTAATAAGCTTACATTATTGCCCCTTTCCCACTGCAATTCACTGATTCATTTATTATGTCTCTCAGTTATTACTGCCTGTTTCCTGCTACTTCCTTGTGTAGACCTTTTTGTTTAAGGGAACCAAGTTCAGTAAATAGGCTTTCTTTTCTTTTTCTTTTAGTGAGGGGTTAGAGTTTAAGACAGTTTGACTGTGACATCTTTGTGCCATTTAAGGATTAAGTATACTTTTTTGTTTCTGCATGCAGGATGAGGTCTGGTGAGGGTGAAAATGGAGTCTGGGTAAATGGAGTTCTTGACCATTCTTTTTGGCAGTAGCTAACTATTTATTAGGTCCTATTTTCTGTGTATTTCTTCCCTTAAAGCCATGCAAATTAGTGGGGTTTTCATGTGTGTTTGATGATACTGTATAGGCAGTAAAGGAAGATTATATAATAGTTTCGTGTGTAAGTTAAATTTTAAAACCTGTTTCAAACCTAGAATAACAAAGCTATTCTTACATAAAGAAAAATGTTGTTTAGATTGGCCAGTTGCTTGAGTAAAAGTATTTTTGAGAGTCAGAATATATCCAGTTTTAAATTTGAATACTTTGTTTCTAAACTTAAAATAAAAATTTTTTTATCTGTGTGAGCCTTCTATATCTGACCCTTAGCAGGTATCTTGCTTATGATACCTGCTGGTGTTTCTGAAAAGGATATGTATATACTTATGAGAATACACTCCATATTAATTTAGCTTTTTCATTTCATATGTTGTTTTGACATAGATCTTTACTTATCTCATTATTTGTTTATTAGTATTTTTTTACACGATACCAAACACTGACGAAAGCTGCACTTTAATGTACTTCTGATTTCTCAATACAGCAAATTGCACAAAGCTTAAAAGATGAACAGAAGAATGTACCTTCAGAAGCATCATTTTCAGATGTTCAGTTAGAAGAAACAGAAGCTAATACTCTAACAAAATCTGGTATGTCATAATGTTTTAGCTGCTAACATTTATTCATTTAATACATTTTTATTGAGGACTTACTAGGTACAGACATGAAAAAAAAAAAAAAACTTGGGCTTTGTGAAGGCAAAGGGAAGTTGATAAGCCATACGTGAAATTTAGTGATAAGTGAAGGTATAATAGGTTGCTGTTGGAACATGGAGGATACACCTCTCATTTATGATTAGAGATGAGCTTTGAGTGCACGAAAATGGGTATAGAAAAGGTGTGGATCTGAAAACTGCAGGGTTTTCACAGATGAGTCTGAATATATTGAATTAAGCAAGCTCTAATTCTGCTTTTTTCTTTTTACCCTTTTACCTTTTTTTTTTTTTAGATTTATTTATTTATGTGTATGAGAACTGGGGTATAGGCCAGAGGTGTGGGGGGTGATAGGACTCACCAGAGACAAAGTGGGGAGCAGAACAGGTGAATCTACTGAAATTTCAGCACTGCTTAGGGGGAGAGCAGGCAACATAGGAGAGGTCTGCTCCTCCATGTAACTGGGGATGGAACTTGTGCTGCAGTGACTGGTGATAGCATTCTAGCCCAAGACTATCCCTTATGGCACCAGGGAGGCCTCCTCTTTACCTTTTTTTGATGTACATTTTATTTATGACTTGCATTATATTTCTGTTGGAAAACACTTCTCTAGAGCTATAAATAGGAGAGTCTGGTGAAGTGGGGTTGCTTAAGATAGATATAATAGCATGTAGGAAGATAGACAGGAATGAAAGACCTTGGCTACTTTGGGGAAGTCATGTGGTTTGGTGTGCTTGGGTACAGGTTATAGGAAAGGAGCAGGTAATACAGACCAGACTGAAGGATATCATGTGATAGCTTGACTCCGGAAAACTTCGAAATAATATACTGTATCATGGTTATGTTATCATCAGGTTTGCATTTTGTAAATTTTTTTTTTAAATACTTTATTCCAAACTGTAGCTTATTTATTTTTTAATCATTATTTTTGAAGCATCAATTTTTTTTTTTTTTTAAGATTCTTTGTGCATACAGAACTGGGGTACAGGCCAGAGGCTCAGGGGTGGTGAGAGGCTTCACCAGAGACAGAGTGGGGAACAGAACAGGCAGATCAACGAAGTACACTGCTGAGGGGAGCAGCGGGCGGGTCAGGAGAGGTCTGCCACACCATGTGGTCACCTCCGGGGCAGGCGGGAATCAAACTCATGTGGAAGCGGCTTTAAATTCTCAGTGCTGTGCTTTAACCTGCTGCGCCACCAGGGAGGGCCGCATTTCGTAAATTTTTAAGTGCCTAGACCTGGGGTATAATATTGACAGCTTAGACTAGGTTACTTATTATACAATGAGTAAAATATCCAAGAATCACCTTGGATACTCATGAATTAGCAGCAGACCTCTCCATCTTACCCACTGTTCCCCTTAGCAGTATAATTTCAGTAGATCCACTGTGTTTCTGACAAATTTTATTACCCTCCCACCCCCTGCACCTCTGGTTTACACACCAGTTTTTGTATACACAAATAAATAAAAAGACATCTTAAAAAAATTTTTTTAAGCATGTACCATGCTTTTGAAAAAATTAAAATCACAGAGCTATAAAAGGAAGGCATTTTTCCTCAACATTACCCTTTTCCCTTTCTCTTATGAATTTACTACTCCTAAACATTCTTCTAGGTATATGTAGATCTAGCTGATTTTTTAAAAAAGTAATTTATATTTTGCTTGGCTATACTTTTTTTATATATGGAAAAAATTTCAGACTTATGAAAAAGTAAAAGGAATTAATACAATGAATGATGAGCACCCTTAACAGCCTTTTCTAATCTGTGGGGTTGGTGGGGGTGAAGGCAGTACTTGGGAACTGGGAACTGGATACATATACAGGTTTGTCCTGTAAGTGATGTAGCTCAGAAGTTAGGAGGTAGGCTCTAAGGCGACCAGCTTGATTGATCTTTTTTTGATGTTGCTTTGTTTTCTTGCCATTGTTCCTAGTTGGCCAATGCTTTCCCATACTACTTAACAGAGTCGCTTCCTTTTAAGTGTCTGCATGGTTTTGTATAATTTGTGTATGTTGATCATTTTTCCATAAAGATTTTTTTTATCTCAGTTGGAAAAAGTAGTTTGGGTTAAGTAAGTGAGGCCAGAATGTATGTATGTGTGTATGATGTATTCATGTGTGTTCTTACTTCTGGTGTAAATATCACTTGTCCCTGGTTTAGCCTTCTTAAGGCATTCTTGACTAGAGGTAAGTCTTTAATGGAGATTGCCAGCTATTGATAGCTGAAGGAGAAGTGTTTATAGTAGTCACGCAAATAAGACAGACCTCCACAAGTGTGAAATGTGTTCTTTTCTGTTTTGGGTTTTTAGGCTCAACAGAATCTCTCAATCCTAGACCACAGACCACAATTTCTCCAGCAGATCTTCATGGAATGTGGTATCCTACAGTTCGAAGAACACTTGTCTGTCTCTCCAAATTGTACAGATGCATAGATGTATGTTTATTAATTCTTGTATCTTTACTTAAATGGCTTGTCTTTCTCTTGAAATATTTTAAATTTTATTTTGAGATCTTAATGTCAGTATTTTGTCTGATATTAGACCATTATTATGTGATTTTCAGAATCAAAGATAACTTTAAGATAAATCCAGTGTAGAAATTGCTAAATTGAGTATTTCCTAGTGTCCACTATTGAACTTTGAGGAGACTATGAATATTTTGAACTTGTGGGTAAAACTGTGTGTGTATATTTGTATTTGTGTCTTCCTAAGAAGAGGCGCTATAACTTTTATTGCATTTCTTAGGGGTGTATGACAACAAATAATTAGAAACTATTGATTACATCTTTTTTATAGATCAAAAAAGATACAGGAAAGTTAAATGATATGCCTTTTGTCAAATAGGTGTATACATTTAATATTCAATTAATCATTAAGTGCATTTATTTTAATTTAGTTTTGTTACCATTTTGATAGCATCCTTGACAAGTGGTACTAAGATTATATGTGTTTCTAGCCGTGGACTAATTGCAGTTATTTGCTGAACTTAGCAGTGCCTTTTCTTTTAATGCACCAACTTATACTATGCACTGATTTTAGGCAACAGTTATTTTAAGCATTCCAGTTTAATAATGTAATATCAACTCATGAAAGATAAGATTTGTCTACATTTATTTATTGTTGGTAGTTTGTTGCTAAGTCAAAATAGCTTATAAAACTTGATTCACTTAAAAATTAAGTTGATTTTTTTGCAATCCAAACAGTACATACAGATGTCATAAATATAGCAGTCACCTGACTTAATTATGCAGATGTCATTCTTTGTTAAGACTGTAGTTCAAAAGGGTATGAGTATTTCCTAGGATGGGCCTGTCCCAGGCCTCAGGGTTCTAGGGGCTGAACAAGGTGGCACAGGAATCTCAGTGGGTCAGTGGAGTGCACGTTATTTGGTGTCTATTTTATACTGCATGGTAACTATAGTCTGTGCTCAGACATTTTTTAATTCAGTTAGAAGATGTCTTCTGCCCAATGAGGGGACTCTTGAGGAGTGAGACCAGACCATTTACAGTGACAAGCAAGTCTGCTGGGCTTTTCCCCCAGGGGATGAATTCTCTATCAAAAGGAGGTTTATACATATCTTTTCCCTCAGGTTCCCCTGTTACTGTATTGAATGATGAATTCGAAAAATGTTCTACATAGAACCCATTGTCACAGATCTTAAAGAAATCTTTTATGGTGCTAAACAGGGGCAGTAATCAAAAGATAGATTGACTGCTGCAGATAGGAAATACTTTTGCTTGTTTTTGTTTTATGCCTCAGACATACCTATGTTTTTTTCACAAACAGGTCTCCTACCCCTCTATCTTAACAATCAAAGATGAGGGAAGACAAATTCAGTGAAAAACACATTAAGGCTGATCAGGGGTATGAGTTTGGTCTTAGTCTAAACTACTCACAATCCCCATTTCCTCTTGTTTCAGTAGCCTTATGGTAGAGAAGAGGCAGGGACCAGTGTTCAGATGTGTCCTAATAAGTATTTCCTCATACCCTTCTTTATCAACCCTATCCTGGGTAGAATTAGGCAGAGAGGACGCAAGTAAGTGATAGGAGTCCCTGCCCAGACCAACACTCCTCAGTCTGGAAAGACAGAGGACAGAATTAAATTAAGAATTATATTTCACATGCTAGTTTGTAGCCTGATTTTGTTTTTCTGAATTGTATTTATAAAGATTTCCACCATCATCTATAGCATTCCTTGATTTTATGCCCAGTGTTCTATCATTTTGATTTACTAGTTTTTATTTGTTTATGTCCCCATTATCGAACATTTGAATTATTTCCAGTTTTTTTTTTTTTGGCTATTTTAAATAATACTGTGAGGAAGAACCCCACAGTATTAATTACATGGAATACATTTTTAGAAGTGAATTTATTGGCATTTTGTCTTAAAGGTAGTTTTATAGATTGTAAAAAAACAGCAGCACACAACATAATGTTGGGGTGATGGTTCATGAGGTTAGAACCATGTTTACCCTGTCTTACCATCACTGCTTCTGTGCCTGACATGAAATTGGTGCTGAGAAGATGCTGTTGAAACATTATAGTCTTTGACAAACTGTGTTGGTAGAAAGTTTCCATGAGTGTAGATAACTCCACAAGGGATATTGCCAGTAATAAATTAGTCCAGAGGAGGAGGACAAGCAAGCATTGTTTGCTGTACTCAACTCCTGTAGTTTTTCCTTTCTATTAAAGCTTATTAAATGTATATACCAGGTACATTGCAAATAGCATTTTAGAATTCTTTTCAACAGTGTTATGGGGAACTTTATTTATTTATATATATTTTATATCTTTTTTCTTTTTTACAGTGTTTGCTTTCTTTTCTCAGGTGTAGTCTCCATAGACTGATCAAAATGGAGAGGGAAGAGCACAAGGGACTATGGTGTTGGTGCAGGGATTTTTTCTTGTGAAGTGGTACAGAATATTTTTTCTTCTTTTTCACCAGAGGGCAGTGTTCCAAGGACTCTCACAGGAAGCCTTGTCTGCTTGCATTCAGTCCTTACTTGGAGCATCAGAGTCTATCAGCAAAAACAAGGTTTGATGAAGTGTTAGGTGAAGTCTTTCTATCTATAATAACGTGGACTTTAACATTGACTTATAACCACAGACATTCAAATCTATTTTGTTAGTAGAATTTGTTTAATAGGATTTTATTTGAGACCATTTGAAAGAAGCTAGTATTTATTTCATTTTAGTGCTAAATAAAGACTAGACTTCATGTGCCAAATTTGTTAAAGAGCTAAAAATGGTACATTATAAATTCTGTAAGATTTTGGCAATTGGGGAGATAGTATGCTGTTATTTCTTTGAGATACCACAGCAGTTTTTTCAAGGTAATGTGACATCGTTTCTGCTGTTTTAAATTATATCGAGTGACTTCACTTGAAGAAAACCAGCCAGTCCATTTGGAAGACTGGTAGGTAGGTTTGACCCTTGGATTGTGTAACCAGAGGTAGTTGACTGTGACACTTAAACAGTTTTTAATCAAAAAGGGATCTGGTGCTAAATAAAGGTTGCTCCCCAGGTGGCCCTTGAGATTTATTTTTAGGAAGTGTATCACTTAATTGGAAGTGTTGCTCTGTTTAATTCTCCACTGACATGTCTATTATATGTTGGGAAAGCGGTATGGGGCCTGTCTCCAGCCAAAATTTCCTTGATGTTTTCAGTGTTTAAATCTTTTGAATCTTTCTGGACTTCAGATTTACAAACTTGATTTCTAAATTCAATATTAAAAAAAATCTTCCAACAAAAGAATTTGGGGTCCTGTTGACAACTCTACCTATGTTTGTGAACACTGCATCCTCCTATTCATGGACTGAAGAGTTAAAATGACCTTTTGACATGGGGATCAGGAGAGGATGGACAGTGACATAGACAAGCAAATTCAAGTTTTAAAAAAAATTTCCAAGTCAATATTTTTTATAATAGGTGGAATTAGGAAACATGTGTCTAATATTAGGGAAATGATACAATTATGGCATAGTCCATATAGTGAACTATTAGAGGGCCCTTAAATTCTTTTAAATGAAGCAATAAAATGGAACTAAAATATGTTAAGGCCAAAAAAAAAAAGTTCAAGCAAACAGGATACATATCATATATACACACTGTAATTTTAAGTATGCAGTGAAAAACATGCATTAAAAATATACAGTAGTGGGGCTCTCCCTGGTGGTGCAGCCACATTATGAAGCTCTCCGAAGCCACTGCAGCAATAGTTCAGTCTCCAGCCAGGGAGATGACCCACATGGTATGACAGACCTCTCCTGACCTGCCCACTGTTCCCTTCAGTAGTAGATCTGCCTTTTCTGTTCCCCACTCCGTCTCTGGTGAATCCTCTCACCTACCACACCTCTGGCCTGTCCCCCAATTCCATAAACATAAATAAATATTTAAAATATACATATATATATATAGCAGTGAAACTTTTTGGGTGACTATGAATAATTTTTCCTTCTTTTCCTTATACTTTATTTTCCAGATTGTCTGCAGTAAATGGGTATTTCTTAGAATACCAGGAGGAAAAAATTATGTAATTAAAAGTTCTTATAATATATTCTCTTATGCCATTGTTATGTTTTTAAAGGGAGAAGTGAAGAGCCTTTTGATTAGTCTTTTTTCCTCTGCCATCCTCCTTTGTCTAGTTGTGTTTCCTACATTTTACAAGGAAGTTAAATATTTATAAGGGATTTACCAAACTCCTCAGTTTGGTAAACATTTACTAACTTACTTTCATGGGTGAGTTTGTGTATTTTGCCTTTCAACTTTGAAAAAAGTTGTTAATGAAAATGGCTTAATGTCTTAAGAGTTTTTGTTCTTTTTTTTTTTTTTAAAGATTTATTTGTTTATGCATATAGATACTGGGGTACAGGCCAAAGGTGCTGGAGGGTAAGAGGGTTCACTAGAGACAGAGCAGGGAACAGAACAGGCAGATTGACTGAAATACACTACTGAGAAGATCAGTGGGAGAGACAGGACAGGTCTGCCATGCCATGTAGGTCAGCTCCCTGACTGGGGATTGAACTTATGCTGCAATAGCTGTGGAGATCTTCATAGTGTTGCACTTTAACCCCTTCTGCCAAAGAGAGGGCCCTTAAGAGTTTTTAAAAGCAAGGAATTTTTTTACATATTTAAATTGAGTACCTAGTATGTTGGTACTCTAACATACTATTGGCTAGGTTATAGTGGCTGTAGTAAATCTATGGTACATTGCTTTTTCCATTGGAATTATTAGTTCTTTAAAAATAGAGCAAGTGTTCAAACTATGTACCACTTCCTGCTTATTTAATTCTGGGTTCCAGAATGCAAAATTAGTTTCTATCAAATAAGTTACACTTATGTATTCTTTATGTGTTTATTTAGAAGGAGGACAGAGAAAGAGACTGTGTAGGTTTAGGGTAATCCAACATGGTGATCCCAAATCATTTTACAAGTCATTGACCCCAAGTCCTACACTTTTCTGTAAATGAGTATTACTAGTGTTTTGGATATTGAAGTCACTTTGACCAGATAGTGAAAAACATGGCTAGAGAGTCATGAGAGAATAGAGTCATACTCACACTTTGAACTTTTCTTCCAATTCTGTGCTAGTGTCAGGCCAGGCCATCTCCTTTCCTTCTATCTAAGTTAAAACAGATTTGACTTTTGTCCTTTTGTCAGATTTGCTTTTTGAGATTTTCTGAGTAGAGCATATATTTAAAACAAGGTTATTCCAAATAATTCTAATCTGGGTTTTATGGGGAGAGTTCGTTGCACCACAGTGTGTTGGCACTATGAAGTTAGGCTAGTGGCCATTAACCTAGGTGAGTGATGTTAATAATGTGCATTATGTACTCCTGTTTTTACTTAATTTGTGATAATACCCACTTTTCTATCTTACAATTTAGAGTCAGATTGATGGACAACTTTTCTTAATAAAGCACCTTTTGATTCTTCGTGAACAAATTGCTCCATTTCATACTGAATTCACCATTAAGGAAATTTCCCTGGACCTCAAGAAAACTAGAGGTATTGCACCATCCTGGTTGGCACAGTTGGACATGTTGACCTGTCCAAGTGTGTCAGCACAGGTTATAGGTTTATTTTATGTTCATTTGCAATATTTTTTGCATGCTATGCTTGCTAAATCTGCTAATTGTTTGTACTAAACTGCCAGCATCCTAACTACATCTCACTTGCTGTATTTATTTTCTTCATGAAGGGATCTGTATATGGACATTTCAAATTTATAGTATTACTGCTCTTAGAATCTGCCACATATTATCATAACCATAAACCATGAAAAATCTGCTTAGAAATACTAACAGTGTCAGCGAATTGAGATGATTTTAAACATATAAATTTATTCACAAAAATTGAGGAAGCCATCTGGGAAAAAAAAGAATACTTGAGTAAGAATCGGAGCGTCTTACTCATTATTTTTTAATTCTTGTTGTCTTAGAGAGGTAGCCCAGGTTAAAGCACAGCATTGACTGTGCTTTTATTTTATTTTCCCTATCCTGGGTAAATTGAGGATAGTCAAATTGTCATGATATCTTCATCAGGTTATCAAGATCATTAAGAATGAAAATATATGTTAAAGTGCATAGCAAGCTTATGGTGCTTAAATAAACTCAAGTGTGATTATTATTAAACCATCTGACAGTTGTATAATTAGGATTTTTGAGTTAATTGAATCATCTTGGGAAATATGACTCATTTATTGGAATGATTTGCCTCTGAATTAACAAGATTTAATTTCTGAAAGATCAAAGTACTTATTTACTAAGATGTTGACCTTAAACAGTTACGTATGTACTCTCAATGCCGTTCTCTTAGTTTTTTACAGAATTGCCTAAACTTAATCTTAACGATTTCTAAGAGAATTAAACTTTAATGCCTCAAGATGTCATTTATGTAATAGACTTTGCTCTACTGTTTTGAGAAATAGTTACTCAAATTATTTTTCATGTTCTGTGGTTCAGAACAGCTTCAAATACAGGATTTTCAAGGATATCACATTGTTAGTTATCTAATGACTGTGCTTATAAGTTAGATAACTTGATTTAACTCACCTGAGATTATGAGTCTTTTTTTTTTTTT